GAATATTATAAGACTATAGACAAAATTTAGAATTCACAGGTTGCTCTTTACTTTCATCTAGCGAATGTGATTAATTTCCAAAACGAGGTTTTCGTCAGTGTTTTCATTGATGAAACGTACGATTTACATACGCCGTTAAGATTCAATATCTATTCAAGTAATTAGAATTCAAGAAATGTCTTGTAATAACTAATATCATAATATTTGAAAAATGTTAGCGGGCTATTTTGTTTACTGCTGCAGTATTAGCATTAAAATGAGCGGTTATTGATAAAATAATTATCAAAATAGGTTGGTAACATGATTAAATTTAAACGGCCTTTTAAATACCACATCAAATGAATATCATTTAAGGGTAAGTAAATCCACTGTAATCAGTTTGATGTTAAACCGACATAGACGAAATAGTATATTGAAGTATCTAGCTAATGAAAAATATCCATCTAAAATCAATGAAATAAGTTTTCCTGAAATTAGTTTCATAGTATCAGCCTTCGCATTTTTCAAGTTCCGAGGAGATTAGCAGATTAGGATTTTATATTAAGACACACAAAATTCCATTATTCTTTGTTTACAGTACAGGCCCTGTTTAATCATTTACTTTAGATTAATGCAAACGGTTTTATATACCATAGTTAGGTCGAAACACATTTCATCTTCATCAAACATCTGGATTCACATTGTCTCTGCTTAGCTAGAGAAATCTGCTAATTTTTAAAACACTGGGAAGGGGGAGGATTGTTTCAAAAATTTTAAAGAGTCCAAAATCATTACTAGTTTCTTGATAATTCGATTTTAAAAATACCCTACGGAACTATGGAGAGACCAAGAATTAACACATAAAATCCAATCCCAAGTTGTGCCTAAATGTTCAATGGTACATATGTAAGCATTACTTCATCATTTAGTTGCAACTGCTACTCAGTGTCTCAATGAACGAATTATTGATAATGAGATGTAAAAGGTGTATGGCTATGTAGATTTATTGTCGTAAAGTTAGAAATAAAAATTTTTAATACACTGAAATCCGTGTGATCAGTTCTAATTCAAAAACTCGTATCTGCTGGCCCGTTTTCGTCATTTAAGTATTTCGAATTCTAACTCAAACAAATAGCCAAAAATTTGAACTGTTTGGCGATCTTTGAGAAGATTAGTTTTATTGACACCTAACAGAATCGCCCTGATCGGTATAGTGATTAGCGATGCTGGCTGCCGTACCTTCGGGCCCGAGTTTTATAATTCAGAAAGCTTGAATGTTTGTAAGTGTACAGTGTTAGTGTGGCATGCGAGCACCTAAAATGCTGAGCAGCCAGAAATCCTCTCAAGAAACTTCATCGTAGGATGAAGGGGGTAGAGACTATACCTGTAATACTACTGTTGAAGTTCTGGTGTTCCGCCTACTTCTTCTTGTCTTGTCCTAACATAAAACAGAAACATTCATTATGAAAGAAATGCGGTTGTTGTAATTTCAGTGAACTTGATTCGCTAATATTACCTTTTCATAGGCAATTTTTAGAGAGAATAAAGCTTTCCATGTTTAAAGTTATTCTTCTTACCTCTACATAGGTTTCGTTTAAAAGGAATCTGAAAAACATTTTAACTAACGCTTACTGGGGTATTTTTCTTTTATGAAGGATTCCAGAGGCTTGAAATCTTTTTAGCATTCGAATTCGAATACGTTTCTACTCACTTGCAGTACCTTCAGCTTTCTTTCCCTGTTTTCACTTATTTCTTCTTAAAGTCCCACACAAAATGGATTTCTAAAACTTTCCAGCACCCATCGCTTTTGTCTTTCTCTATCCAAACTGGCATATTCTCTTCATTTATATTTCCGATCCTTTAACACCAAAAACAGTTTCAACAAAGCTCAATGCTGTTCAAATTTCACGGACAAAACTTTCAATCTCTGTGAAATTAGGGATCAGATTTTACAAACAGTCAGCAGTTAGAGTTAGCTGTGAATTTTAAATCTCAACCAAAGCTGGATAACAGTGTACAGCAAAAAGAAATTACCAGTTTCTTCCCTCAAGTCGTAAGTTCTTCATCTTCTTAAAATGCCATTCTGACGACATTGTTGGAGGAATGACATGCAGTTAACCGATAAAACACATGATCTGAGTAAACAAAGTACTCTTCATTTCTGTTTATGCACCTATTTAAAAAGGTTAATCATGCAGGGACACATTTACACCTGTTACTGTTGAAACCTAGGCAGTATGTCCGTACTGACGGATTTTAACATTTCATTCATCAAAGGCACAACTAACGTCCATATAGACATCTTAACAGGCTACCTAGCGCAGGCCTATTGAGGTGGTAGCTAAATCAGCTAATCACTATCCAACAGAATGACTGCATATTTCTGAAAAAAAGATTTGAAAATTCACGGCAAATTCTTTCTAATAGCTAAATTAATTTTCACGAACGGTGTTATTATTTACGTATATGGCAAAACCTGTTTTTGTTGCAATTACATATATTTAGCTTTGTTACACTCCAAGAATTCGGCAAGGAGAGGTGATTGAGTATGCCAGGTCTTTAGCTAAAATTATTCTTTAGTTATAATTATCAGTTCACAGTAAAAGTAAACCTTTAGTTCCGATTTTACTTTTGCTGTATTCATTAGTGGCCTATACTTTAAGCTAAAGAGGATCATTATAAGTTGTTTGTTGCCTCAGAAGGTTAAGCCAGCATGTAGATTAAGCGTAAATTAAGTTTGTTACCAATTTATGTTTGAGATGTGTTACAAGGAGTCCTATCCAGACTAAATCTTAAATTTTTGCATTTATAAATTAAGCGTAAATTACGTTTAACCTTAATTTATGTTTGGGATGTGTTACAAGGAATCGTATTCGGACTAAATCTTAAATTTTTGCATGTGTTAATAAGATTATAGGAAAAGGAAAAATCCAAGACTTAAAAAATATACAGCATTTAAAATTAGTTAACTTCAATTTATTAGTTTTAGAATCAGTTAAATTTAGTTCCAGGTATTTCATAAATGTGTTACAAGAATAGGTGCAAGAGCACTTATTTCCTCTAAACAAAGACATTTAACATGCCCTTATACATTATCCATGTGCAGAAAAACAAAAGCAAAATGCTTTTATCAATAAAGGAAAATGTTTTGCAATAAAGACAAATTAAAATAAATAATTGACTTTTAAATGGGCATAAAACTCAAAAGATTTAAATTTGCTTACATAAACTAAAAGTGGAAGTATTGTGCACTGCTTCTCTTATAAGAAGATTAGTAATCTTATAAGAAGATTGTACTTATTTGTAAAACTAAAAAAAATATTTACTTAATTTTTAATTAAATTAAATGTTATAAAAATTACAAAATGGAAAAGATTAAGCTATAGTTTTTTTGTTAGTTAAAAAAATGCCTCTAGACGATCGCTTGTGTTCTCCCAGGGGGGGAAACACACTACACATTAACAGTTTAGTTTAACATTTCACGAGATGCTGTCCAAGAAATAGACTATAGAAGCTCCTTAACAGAGCCAACAAGCTTTTCATATCAGAATCTTAATGATCTCATAAATTTTGTGGTCTATCTTGTTGCACGGCATCTTTTCATTTGCAGACACCAGAAACGCTTAAATACTGTGACCCAATAAAACGGGAGGACGGTGCAACAAATCATTTATCGCCCTTTCGTATGCTGAGATATTTGTCAGAAATGATTGATGACGTCAACTAGGTCTCATTCCCGTTGACAGTTAATATTTTTGGCCTCATATCAGCTGTAATGGATCGTCAAATGTTTTAACTTTATGAGTTTTGCTCTCTCGATGGATGCCGCCACAGAATAGTGTGGAAAAATGACGTAAAAGTTATTAATTTGAAATGGAAGTGGATTATCAAGTCACTCATTTACTAAGTTTAAAGGATTTTCTATTCAACAATGAAGATAAGACGGTTTTGAAAGAAAATACATTTCAGAATTTTTTCTTGTATCATATATTGAATATCTTAAAACAGTACGCATTCATCTCGTCTTTGGCAAATGTACGTCTCTTTCACATATCGCTGTGAAAATATTGTTACGTTATGAGAACGATTTATGTTAAGAAATAAGAACCTTTTTCTTTTGAACTTCTTAAAATAGATCGTAATTATCCCTTTAGCAAGAACTCAATTTGAAGCAAATGCATTGCCTTTAATATATAAAAGTATCTTTCACACACGAATTTAAAAGTGTTGTTACATTAGTAAACGAATTTTTGCTAAGAAACATATGAATCTATTCATAGCAATTAAAAACAGTTAAACTTCAGTAATAGCTGTTAATACTCGGAAGCTGTTCTATTCTTTATATTAATTCACTAAAGAAAAATATAGGATTTTTAAATTCAATGTTTTTTTTTTTTGGCAATAAAAATAAAGTCTGGAATTTAAACGTTTCTTTTAAGTGTCAACCTTTACCGTGTCCTTATTTTTTACTTTATAATTAACCATCATATTCATGTAATTCTTTAAATTATGTTCAGGAATCTGTTTACTGTGTGAATTTCCTGTTTTTTTATTTTTGTTTTATTTAGTTAATCAATTGCTGCAAAGCGAGCATTGGCTATCTGCCTGCGGTAAGGGATATCTTGGTGGAAAACTTTGAAAGTATTTAATTAATTAAATCTGGAGTAGCTCATATTTATATTAAATACGTGAGAAACCACGAAAATATTTTTGTAACCAGCCCGTTCACAGGGATTCGATCACCGATTTAACTGCCATTTTTTCAACTGTCTTATCCACTCCACCGCTGGTCGGGAAATTTGTCAAAATTAATGATGGTTTCTCACTATATTTCTTGAATTTTATATATATTTCCAGCCGAAATTCAATGAAATGTTATTTTTGCATAATACATAATTAAAAATCATCGCATAAACTATAGCAGCAAAAAAAAAAAAAAAAAAAAAAAAAAAAAAAAAAAAAAAAAAGGCTGATTTATTCCAGTCATTTGTGTATTCTTTTAATACTGTATTTCCTTACAGATCAGAACATGGAGGGCTTACCTCTTCTTCGTGAGGTAACGAAGATGATCCTCGAATCTGACATCATCGAGGATCCCAAAATTGTGATGGCTAAGCATAAAGTCGCGGAATTTAAGCATCCTAAGGAGCTAGAGGTCAGTATTTACTTCTAGTAGAAACTAATGAAAATGTTATATTCTCTAACATAAATTCATCTTAATCAATTTCCAGTAAACCTCTAATATCACGCAAAATTACAATATTACGGACAAATTATAAACAACCTTTTGCTACAACAGGCATTGGAATATCTGAGTCCTAAGTTGCGTGATGAAATCGTAAGATGTATGTTAATTTTATAACAGTTATTTTCAATTTTGAAACCCTTTCCTTTCAGTTCTTGTTTCCCACTTACAACTCCCTACCAGAATGGGTCTTTAGAATCGCGTTGAATGCAAATGAGTTATAAGTGGTATTTAAAGGAAGTTCAACTTTTTTCGAAAGAGAGTGCTTAGGAGTCCTTAGTGGCGGGTGTTTGCATTTATTCTTGAATCTATTAAGCTGTACATGAACTTGCACTGCACATGAAATCTTGTGGATTTATTGAAATCTATCTTCAATAAATTCACAAACACCGAGACACAATTGAAAAATTAAATACTGTAAATAACAGCAATGTTATATTCATCACAATCCTATATTCGGAATCGATTAATTGTTTGGTAACAGCAATAATATTATATACATCACATTCCTATATTCGGAATCGATTAACTGTTTGGTAACAGCAATAATATTTACCAAGTTACCACTGTAACACTCAGGCTATAGGAAAGCATAATTACCGAAATCCAAAATTCAGTTAATTACGGAATTCCAAACTATCGGTTCGTAATTATAGGGAACCTACATGTCCAAAGACTGTATTACATACCACGAGAAGAAATAAATAATAAAATGCTAAAGATATATTTATTTTCGATCCTTCCTTCTGTACATTTACAAATAATAATAACAATGGAAAGCAAGTTTTTTATACTCAAATATTTCATTTTATTCCCAAACCTACTAGCAAAACTTTCATTACTATTTATATTATTATATTATATATTACAATAATTATCAAGGTTTCTACCACTTAAAAGGAGGAAAAACTCTTTTTTTTATGCATTTAGTTTTATAAGTGTATTTTTGCTCTTTTAAATGTATAAATTCATTTTTTTATCATTTCCCTAACTGAATGCTACTGAATAAAAACATTACTCTTCATACTGAGATTTATCTTTGAAAATTCTAAAATTAAAAAAATTAAATCAATTGAACTTCAGAAGCATGTCAGAGACATAAAACAATGATCGCAATAAAAGCAAACTTGCATATTTATGTAATCAAATATGGAATTCTTTGCAACTTGAAAGAGTTAATGATCCTTAATAAAAGTACAGCGTTTCTTAAATAATCCCAAAAGGAGTCAAGGTCATTACTCATGAATTCGAGTTTCAGAATAAAATTTGAGTTTTTGTTAGGGCATTCAAATTATGTTTCGTTGAGAATTCTAGTTAACCTCAAAACTTATTAAAATTTAAAATGTCTCAAACTTGATAAAAATTTACTTAGTTAAACTCAAAATTTGTTAATTTTTAATTGGGAACATTCGATTTTTCAAGTAGTTATACTTACGTTACACTGTACTTTAGTCTCTGATAACTTTCCCGATATTTATGTGAAGAAAGGCAAACTTTTACTTAATGAACTTATCAGGTAAGTTCATTGTCATCGAGATAATTTATCAGATTTAAGGGTGACTATTAAGCACATGGTTTGATCTTCAGACTTTTGGGCTTAAATGTACATTTTTTCCCATTAGATACTCCTTGAAAATCCAGACATTAATAACTGACACTTGACATTTCAAAGCTGTAGAATTGTCAATCTGATATGTAAGCTGAGATTAAAACGTCAAATTTTTCCTTAAGAGCTCTAAATGCATTCAAAGAAAAGAAAACGAGATCAATGTTTATGGAACATTCACTCAGATATTTTAGATCATTAACAAAATTAAGGGATTGAAAATTAATTTTTCTTGAATGGTCAAAATTCTTGTGTGGGCATTCACACCTTTTAGCTCATCGGTGGAAAAGAGTTCTGGAGGCATCCAATACCGAATGTACGATCACTAAGCTCAATTGAGAGCTCTAAGATAATACTTCCCGAGCTATTTCCGAGCTTCCCGATTTTTATACTTTGAATACTTGTAACGATTTCTGCCGTCATAGGAAACGTTTTCGAGGCAACGGAAAGGAAGGACCGGCATGGCAAACCTAGCACCGCGGAGGACGGCGACTGTCGTCCCGCAGAAACCAACTGCTCCTTCCCTTCCTCTTACTCAACGTAACACCAAAACTCTCTCCCATCCTATAAAATCCTTTAATCCTCTCCTTTTCTGCATTTGAAACCACCCTTAATTTTGCTATCAATTCAAGATAGGTAATAAAATTATTACTTTACTAATGAAAATCGTTTTGAAAAGCTCTTGGTCCGACGAAACTCACCTAACACGTTAAAAAGGATTTTCCAAGAAAGACCCTAGTCTTTCTGAAATGTGACAAAAATATGCGAACAGAAAAACGATGCAAGTAATGGCATAAGCGGTTTAACGCTCAGAAAAAGGATGGCCTTCCGAAGACTTCTGTCACAGTTGTTACAGTGAAATGCTTTTGATTCAACTTCTGGTGTTTAAAAGAGAAAAATAGATTCAAAACAAAGTTTCACACACCAGGCTTCCAGATTCAGTACCTGCACTTCTGAAATAACTTTTTTAAAAATTTTCCTTTCGTTTAGTTTAAATAAAAGAATGATAATTTTTAAGGAAATTAATTCAATTACAGAAATGTTATCATTAGAATTATAAAATATAACATTAATTATCAATTATTTATAACTCAAACGGCAACTTCACAAAACTTTTAATTTTGTTAGAGCAGGCTAGTTGGACATGTTGCCTATCATACCGCGAGAACGTGTACTAAAGAACGCAATAATTCCTCACAGCCTCATTAAAGAGAACTCAATCCATAAAATAATAAAGTAAATTCAATAACTACAAGAAATAAGAAAGTTTTGTTTAAAATGACATCATTTCTTGTTTAATTAGGATCTTGCCTCGGAAACAATGGGAATATGTTAAACCTGAATACCATCAATTGTATACATGCTCCGAGAGGAAACCTGGAAGAAAGTTAATATTTATGCTTTGAAGCCTTTTGTTTATGATTAGATCGTGTGTCAATATATGTTTGCATCGTTATAAAATTAAATGTTTGAAGAAAGAATCACGCATTTACTCACGTGTAAATTTTTATCTTACTCCCAATGGTTCTTCTTAGAAATATACTGAATATTTTCATTTGAAATCAGTGCTAAATTTGGAATAAAATTTGAATTTTTTAAAGCTGGCTTCTATCTCTTAACTTATAACTAACTATTATTCTATTTCTTAACTCTTAACTTATATCTCTTAACTTAATATTTATATATCGAGACAAAATGAAAAGCATAACATTATTAGAATCTCGAAATCATAGTTAACGAAGTTTCGAGACGTGAATGGTTACTTTTCTAGGATTGGCTGGTCTACAACTGTAATGAATTACTTCAGCCAACTATAGACATTTCAGACGCTTACCATTAATTTGTAAGCTATTTACTTACGAGGGCAATCCCCAAAAAAAAGGTCTCCTATATTTTTAGATATACAAAGAACCGTTTATTTTCTATAATTGCTACATCACTTTAAAGATTGAAGAATGCTTTATTTTTCAACATAATCGCCATTTCGGTCGATGCATTTTTGCAGACGCTGTGACAGTTTTACAATGCCCATGTCATATCAGCTTGCCGCCATGCCGTTCAGGAAGCGTTGAACCTCATCTTTCACCTCATCATCGGAGCAGAACCGCCGTCCAGACAAATGTTCCTTCAACTTAGGGAACAGGTAGAAATCGCTGGGTGCCAAGTCCGGACTGGAGAGTGGGTGTGTGATGACGTTCCAACCAAAATTTTGCAGGAGATCGACGGTTTGACGGGCGACGTGAGGACGGGCGTTGTCGTGGAGAATGCTTACACCCTTGCTCAACATCCCTCTTCTCCGGTTCTGAATTGCCCTTCTGAGTGAATTTCAACTGGTTTAACGCCTTTTGCGTTCAAAAATCGAATAACTGCGCGCACTTTGCACTTGGCGGTAACGTTTATCGGAAGCTCCATTTCTGCCAAGACTCATTATTCAAGCCAAGACTATTCATTATCCAAGCCAAGACTGAGCATCCGAGCGAAGCGCCTGCGTGCTTATGTGGTAGTGGAGAAGGCACCACTCACAACAGTGTTGCCAACAACCGTATTAAAACTTTCTCCACGTCTCCCAAAAATAGGAGACCTTTTTTTTTTTTGAGGGGGATTGCCCTCGTAAATTAACAGTTACTTTATGTTTAGAAACTATACACTCACTTCTCCCTTTCAATTCACTTCTCCCTTTCAATATTCGCGCATATTTGAATGAGGTAGCATTTAAAGGGAGGTTTTAGACTGCTTTAGTCACAGCGTGTTCCCCCTGCTGAAAGCCACGTTGCTAGTTGAAATTCTATGACAACATTCTGTATACGACGTTGCTTTAATATTGCCAACAGTGATGTCACGTCAGTGTACGTTTGAGCCAACTTGCGCGTAAATAATTTCTGCGTGGTCTTTGGCTAACTTAAAGGATTAGTTTGAATTTAAATTTGAAAGTCTTACCTTTGAGTTTACGCCATAAATTCAGGCTGGTTTTGTATGCAGAAAGAGGGCCTTCTGTTCAACTATTTAAGTTCTTAATAAAAGGGTCTTTTACATGCTTCTTACGTTTCTGCTTGATTAACTAGACATAGCGACAAATCTCTTACGTCTGTTCAAAAGTCTTGACTTGTTTCATGTTACCAAAACGAATGAGACTCTACAAATTAACTAACTATTTATAACAAAATTAACCATGAAATAAATTAGAGAAAAAGAAATATTCTTTAGCATTAAACTCATAACGAAGAGAAATCGACATCTATAATATTGTATTTTACTGATGGATATTCTAAGTTTAGGTCATCTGTTGACGAGATGAATTATGTATCTGCCAGTTCTTAATCTATATTATCTTATAATATGAATACTCATTAAAAAGGCTTGGAAAATTTATAGCTCACGTAGATGTTACGCGCTTAAAAAATCTACAGTCCTTGTGAAAAATTCAATTTTCTTTTTTAAGCACGGTAATTTTTTCCATCTTTGGAGCAAATCCAACGTAGCTACAGGAATTACATGTATAACTTGTATTATGATACTAAAATATGATATCAACAAAAGGTAACAATAAAACATGGGTAATTTACGTTTCACTACAATATTTAATTTACCTGACTGATGAACAGGCGGAGGTAACCAGAGACATACTGAGAATACCTGAATTCCGGACTAGTATCGGATACTAGTACCAAAGGTACTAGCTACGGAATCATTACAATAGTAAAACATGTACGGCGTAGTTATTTCATGCAGATACAATTGCGTTTGAATTCGTGGCCTTTTCGCCAGTGAGAAGTGTTCAAATGTTTGTGGACTGTCTTTGAAAGCTAAATTTTAACAGATTTATATATTTAATTTATTGCAGCAAATCGTTAAGTATGATAATATCCACATACATTTTATGTACCTTTATTATATTTAACACTTCAAGTTTTTGATACTTATAAACAAATAATTTGCCTGTTAAATTTTTCTTAGCTGTTATAAATCTCCAAAGCATTCTTCAATTCATTTATTAAAAAAGAAAAAAAAACGCATATTAAAAAACATGCGAAATTCTGAGTCGTACACTCCGCAATCATTTGTTAACATCTTAATACTAATAATCAGTAATATCTCTCTAAATGTATACAACAATGTAAACGTTCTCAGTTTTTTTAAAACAGACTACAATTACTGCTAGTGGATAGATTTAACATACTAAAACAGCTACACATAAATACGTACTCAACACGTAAGTGGCAGTGTGGAACACCTAATTAAGTATCAGCGACACATCAGCCAGAACTCTGCTAGTCATATTATTTATATTATAGATTTTACATAGCGAGCCTTTTTTTGCCTTATTATTATTTTTTCCTCTTTACCTGTATGTACGCATGGGACTTTGTAGAGACATTAGTTATTAGCAGGAAACATGAAAAATGTGGAATGCCCTCGCCGAGACCCGAACCTGGACCTCTCGAATACGCGCCGAGTGTTCTACCTTTACACCACGAAGGATGCTGGAAATAGTAAGAAAATACCTTATACACTCCCCCTTTTAAAGGGCGACTTGGGAATTCGGAGACGTCCTTGGGAATCCTGTTAGTGAGGAATTATTATCCACCACCTTTTAGTTCGGGCGTCACTTACAGAGTCATTAGGTTATTTGGGAAGCAGGGGTCGAAACTGAACTCTGGAATAGGCGCCAAGTGTGGTAACATTACACCAAGAAGGCATGCTGGAAGGAGAGAGAAAATACCTAGATAAAGTATATGCTCTCGTCATATCCTATATTCTAAACTAAACTGTAATTGTTTTTAATTACGCTTAAAAATACAGTATATATGTTCATTTCTTAATTGCGTATTCTTGCTCATAATATGTGAATGGCTTTTATGCATATCTTTCCTCATAGTTATAAAAAACTAGGTACTTCGTAAGTTAGGTAAAATATTTTCTCTCTTTCTTTTATACGTAGGAAAAATTCTATAGAAATTTAGCATTGATATATAGCCTTTAAATATGACAGAAGAGTTATAATATGTAATAAATGGATTGAATTGACTGTAGTGTTTAAAACAGAAAACAAGGCAAAACGAAAAACGATTGAGACATTATAACGTGTAGAACAGATAGTTTCAAAGCTGTTAAAGTGTCCTCGAGTTATTAAAGAAGGGAATGCAAAAACAAAATACTAGTAGCAAAGTATCAAAGTCCTTTTTTTAAAAATTCGTAGCAGTAATTGTTAAAAGCAATATTATGGAGAAATCTAAGCTTCATGTAACCATCGATTTCATTGTTTGTTAGATTATAAGGCATTTTCTCCCTCCTTAGAGCATACCTGCATGGTGAAAACGTAGCACACTCGGCGCCAGGTTCGAGACCCAACGAGGGCATTTCACATTTTTCACATCTCCTGATTCAAAATATCCTAATGACTCTACAAGCTTATTTTATTGATTTTGACATTTCACTGGATAAAAGAAAATCTGTGCTTAGTTTAACTAAAATTCTGAAGATATTAAAACTTCGTTTCACTAAATTACTTTTTAGGAAATTTTTGATTTACGAATTGAAGATGAACCAGCTAAGCATGAAGATATGGTCAAACTGTGCCAGGATGTTCTTAGATATAGTGTCAAAACATGTAAGTAGTTACTCATGGTTTATTACCTTTTTTTATACTTAGTTATCACTTTTTCAATTCTTAGCTTCATGACCATTAGAAATGGTGCAAGCCTTTTTAAAATGTATTATATCTTTTCCGCGTCTTATGTCTTTAACGTACTTGATAACAACTTAATAGCAGATTTAAGCACGGATGACATCTATTATCTATATATTTAAAATATGTCTTTATCCCATATTTCTGAAATATATCTATAGCCTATATTTTTAAAATTTCTATATCCTGTATCTATATCTGTATAAATTTCTACATCTATAACCTATATTTCTATAAATTTCTATGAATGTCTATAGATGTTTCTATAAATGTCTATATCATATATTTATAAATGTCTGTTTTCTGTAATTTTAAAATATATCTTTTAAAATTAAAGAACTCGCACTCTGATGTTTCAGAGCATAGTGAAACATTAAAACATGTTAAGAACTGATACCATCAAAGAATATAAATCGAATTGTTTCTTGATGAAAATTATTTACTCTGGCATATAAGCAATACTTAAAATTTTATAGCAATACTGAAGTTCTGTATATTTTTAAACATAACTGGAAATGTGTTATGCAGATTTTATAAATGTTATCTAAGCAGGAAGAGTTCTGTTTCCAAACTTTCCTAAACTACAAACCGTAGGGAAATCATGCAAGTATTTCTCACTGATTTTTTTTTTCCATTTAAAAGTATTATATTTTTTAAATAGAAACTCAGAGGTCTTCTCAATCTATACGCTGATTCAGAATGTTGATAGTATTATTGTATTTTACTTCTGCTGCAGGCAGTCAAGTAGAGGGAAAGCCCATAACTAAAATACATAACAGTTATAATAATAACCTTATGTTATAAAAGGCGAAGGAAAAAAATGCGTACGGCTTCGACGCACTCAGGTGATTAATATGTATTATTGTTTAACAATGCTTCTACCTGAAAAACATTATGTAGAGGGAAGTTCTTGATTAATTTCAGGACTTGATTTATTTTGTTAACTTTACTGCTCATTGTTGCGCACAGCTTGAGTTCTGCTGCAAATAATAAAATAATTGATTTAACTTGGTTTAATCTTTATTTAATATTACTTAATTCTGTTTGATATTACCGCCAAGTCTAAAAATGTATCCACAACTTTAAAGTTGGATTTATTCTACACCTTTTAAATCTCCCATTCTCAGTTCTATGTAATTCATATAGTAGAGAGTTTCACGCGTTCGCGTGTTCGATTTGATCGTTTTGGGACAATCATATCAATAGTTTAAATTTTAATAAAACATTTTTCTTAGAAAATTATTAAAATATTACCCACTGAGAATGTCTCATATATTCATAAAACAAACAGTTAAATAAATAATAGCTAGTAAAAAGACGACAATATTTTCTAACTATGTACTAGCTAAAAATACTGTATAGTAGGATTTCAACAAATGTTGTGCATAATTTAATCTTGTTTTCTTTTTGATTGCCTCGCTTTGCTACTCCGTGCTTAGTAATGCATTGTTATAAATCGCAAAGACTACATTGCTTATCAATGTATTGTTATAGTTTGTAAGAAAAAGATCTTGTATCTCATCGGCTGGAAATGGAACATACTTGATAGAAAGGACTCTACTCACAAAATGCACACAATTCCCAGTCTTTAGGCGATGAAAATTAAAAAGATAAATTAAAGGCGAATTATATTGAAACATGTATACTTAAATGCAAAAATAGAATATTTTGAAGCGACGCTTAATTATTTTGTTAAAAATAAGGGAATTCTTATCGTTAAGTTGTGAATTACACTTTGAAAATACATCATGACGCCTGAGTTTGCTGTGTGATAGAGAACATAATTAAGCAATCAAAATCCTATTTATTCTCCGGAAATTTGTAGTCAGCGTAATTCCGCCCGTTAATGTTATAATGACTTTATGTATTGTGCATGGATTAATGAATATTCGAGGAGAGAAATAATTTAATTACTCGCAGCGGAAATAAGTACCCGGAAATTATTCTTTGCCTTTTCACGCACTTAGTATAATTAAACGAATAAGAAACACAGATATGTTGACTGAGCTTTAAATTAATGGCGCTTATCTATCACTCTAGCTATAGGCTTGACCATACAACCAGTAGAGTCATTAGGTTATTTTGATGCTGGAGAAGTGAAAAATGTGCAATGCCCTCGCAGGGGCTGGAATCTGGACCTCTCGAATATGCGCCGAGTGTGCTACCGTTACACCACGAAGGCATGCAGAATGGAGGGAGAAAATACCTTATATACTTCCCCTTTTTAAAGGGCGACTGTGGATTAAGGAACCCAATCGCCAAATCCTGGTAGTAAAGAATCATTATCCACCACATTTTAGTTTGGTCGCCAGTGTAGAGTTATTAGGCTTATTTGAAAACAGAGACATAAAAAAAGACAAGTCCCTTGCCGAGACTCGAACCTAGACCTCTCGAATACGCGTCGAGCGTGCTACCGTTACACCACGAAGGCATGCTAGAAGAAGAGAGAAAATACCGCATAAACGTAAAACAATAATTTCCAGCTAAATATATTCTCCTTTTCGCGACTTTAATGAAAAACTAAGTTTTAATTTAAAATTCAAAATTTTGCTGTAAACGTCTTACATTTCGTTTCTGAATGTTTAATGAAACCGAAGATTAACGAACACTAATATCTGGTTCTCCATTAGACTGACTGGCGACATATCGGGCCGTCTTGTTGAAATCACTATGACGCAATGTTTAAATAAACATTAACACTTGAAACTTAGCAAATGCACAGCTCGTACTTTACAAAATCAGTCTCCGCTACTTGTGGAATTTAAGATAACGCAAAATATTAAAGTGGAGTTTAACTTAAACGCAGAGAATTCGCAAACTAATGACCAAATATAGTAAGTTTTGGCCCAAAATTCTAACTACAGGAGCAACAAGGTTACCAAAAGGCTAAAGCCTAATAGGCAGTTCTAAGAGCTGGTCGAGAAATATCAAAAAGGTCAGCTTCGCTGTCAAGAGTTCACTCTCTAACTTCCAGAATTCTGTTATTCTGAATGTTTTATTAGATTATATTAGATTCTGTTACATTAGGTAAGTTAATTGATTAAGGCACAGTAACTCGAAGGCTATCTGCCAGAGGGAGAGATACCTTCGTAGAGGACATTTTAAGGGAAATTCTTCAGTTTCCATGTCACACATGAGGAAAAACACGAAACCAATCATGTAGCCAGCCCGTTAGCCTGCATTCGATTCAAAGTCGAACTACCAGTATTCAGCGACGTTACCGCTCGGCCGCTAATGGGCCCTCTGTTCATTTAGACTTATTGACTAATTCGCATCCTGGTGAGAACCGACGAAAGTAAAAATGTCTATAAAGATAAAAATAATAAGATAACTGGTTAGTTAACATACAATCTTACAAATGCGTCCTGTAATTCTAATACATATGAATTTATACCAAAATTAATTTTCACACATGCTTAAAATATAGGCGCGGAATTATATTAAAAGTTACATATTTAAAAACCCAGTAATTAGATGAAAGAAAACTAAGATCTAAATATTTTTATCTTTTTGACAAAAAAGGGAGTCGTTATATATGTACATACACTGATCAGTAAAAGGTTATGACACTCTTACACGTAATGCGCTCGCCGCAATGACACAGAGGAAGTGTAATAAGGTAGGAGTATTATTTAACGGTAATGGGGGATATTGAGGTATCATTTTATCCATTACGTGTGCATGCAGTGAAGAAGGCTTCTGGTATCAAATATTTTGATAAAGAACAGAATGTGATGGCCCAAAGGTAAGAAACTGCCATTTTTAGCGCCTATAAAAATGTGGAAAAAAGATAGTTAAACCAGTCGAATACGCACAGGTATTGGACGTCACTCTGATCAACGAATGCGGACGTCGAAACGAATTGGTGAAAGCAAATAGGCTGCTCCTGGTGATTTAAGTAAGAGCTGAATTCATTGCAAGACTAAGCGCAGAGTTTATCCGATTTCATTGGATACGGAACTCCACAGAAGACAAGTTTCGCACGTGCAGCTCTCTTAACCGATCATTACCGACGCTTACGCCTAGAATGAGGCCGTGAAATGCATGATTGGACCATACAACAATAGAAAAGAACTGCCTGGTCAGATGAATCACAATGTTATCACGTCGATGGCCATGTCAGGATATGCTGTCTTTCATACAGAAATTGATTGACTATATATCGCAGGACGTAAATAGGTCGGTGAAGAATCCATTATACTTTGGGGGACTTTTACGGGCCTCCCGGAAACAAGTGTTTTTCGTAAACTTTACCATAATAGCTCATGCAGTTTGTGAACATCATTACTGATCAGTTAACCCTTTCATGACTTCTTTCCTTCCCTTCGAAACTTGACTCTTCCAGCTAGACAACGCTCCTTGTTGCATGGTCGGAATGTGCTCCAGCTGTTTAGGAACATGCTATTGAATTTTATTTTACGTTCAGCTCTTCTAAAGTGCCAAATATTAATCGAAATGAGCATGTCTAGGATGTCATTTAGCTCCAGCTCAAAACTTTTGTTTGTGAGATGCGCGTCGCTTGAATATAGTAAAGTATTTTATAAGATGACAATTAGATTATGTAGAAAACTGGTTTTTTTCACTTAAATTAATACAAATATCAATTTTTAAAAGGAGAAAAATATTTTAATAAACTGGTTAAAGTGCAATGTACATGCGTAAACAATCTTCGTGCTCTAATAAGCTATTTTATTTACTCTGCACTTATTATGTATCAGGAAAGGCAGTTATTTCTATCTACTTTATGTAATTATATAAGATAATGAAATAATTTCTGATGTATTTTGACCAATGTTTTGCAGCTTTCGTGTGATTGCTGAAGCATAAAGAAATGAATTTTTCCTTTTCTCAGGTCACCCGATGTTTGTGAGCCGACTCTACCAAGGCGTCGATGGTTACGGATTGGCAGGGGCGTGGCTTACAGAAGCTTTGAATACCAACCAGTGAGTCTACATCTTTACATAGTTGCCCATTTAGAAGACACTATAAAATAATGAAATGAAATGTATGTGCAATAGTACGAAACTTGCCAATTTCTTCGTGAAGCCATCTGTAAAGAATATACTACAAACTTTAGCTGCTCTGCATTTCCAATCAACTCCTCACAGCAAGTTATGACTTAAGGCAAAAAATTAATAATAGATCAAATATAATTAAATTTATCAAACAAAGTAAATTTATCAGAAAATCGGTTGGGCTTAAGCTTTTACTCCTCATATATAAAAGGATAGTTGTACTCGTATTAATTACACTTGCTATTAATCGCATTCATTCGCAAGTGCAGCAACCTTCATTACAACACTATTTTCACTTATTGTAGGCAATGTTCGCTTTTTATCTTCTTATAGAGTCAAAGACTAGTTGAGAACAAAAGCTGTAAAGACTACATATAAGAAAAAAGTTGGTCGGAAAACTAAATAAGCTTTATACATTAAATTTATGAAGAGTGAGTTTCGAAAGCTGTCTACCTATTGAAAAATTTTCTTTTCCCAAAGTTTATATTGGAATTAATGGAACACTTTAATAGCCCTAACTGTAACTGTTAAACTAGGAAAAGCTCGTGTCCAAATGGCAGCTGCAAATATGCACATATCCACAAAATATACGTGTCAGATTCAATAAATAAATTAATTTAAAAATTTTTGAAGTAGTTTTAAATTATTTCTATTAGCCTCATTTTTAAAGAAACAAAATTTAATTCTTTATACTCAATGCAGTCACATTTTGCTAAGCATATCTGCATTGCGCTCTAAAATATAAAAAAAAAATAACGACATGAGTATTTGATGCATAAAGGAATGTACGATGAAAATTCGATAAACAGGCTGTTGGAGGATGACATTAAATGACATGAGTATTTTAATGTGCATCAACAAGTAGCAACATAATCATCCGTACTTAATCATTGAGTATAACGCCAATCATTAAGAATGGGCTAGCACACTGTTAAAAATGGATATCATGCTGGTGGAATGTACATTAGAGGAACAACGAGATATAATGTCTTCCTATCGTTGCTAGCCCATTTCCAAAGACGAGAATCAACTTGAATGCCAGCGGACACATCATTTTCATACATCAGATTTGCCAGAGCCTTTCGGAGATGCAAATACTTATACTCTTACTTCACATCAGACAGACCGAAATCTAGTTGATAACCTGCAGGTACCTATTTAAACTGACCAGCACTTTGATTTTCTGAACTTTATCTTGAGCTCAGTTGGAAGAAATCTTAAATTTGTTCTGGGATCTACGACAGAAATTAAATTGTTATTGTGGCTATAAATATCAAGTAATAGGAAAGAATTTTTTATGTTAATGTTTTCACTACAATGAATTATAAATGGCATTCTTTAAAATTATCATTGCGTGTTTGTAATTTATTTACCCAGTATTGCAGCATTTGTTACATCATGCAAAAACCACAAGGAGCTTATGCTGTTGTGTATTATGAAACTAAAATATGTTAAACATTTTGTCCATAAAAAGTAACCGCTAAACAAACACCTCTAATTAATTAAATTTGTTACTAAATAGCTCTTTGAACTTTTAGGACAACTTACGAGGTGGCACCAGTTTTTGTGTTGTTGGAGAAAGCTCTGCTGGAAGGTATGATCAAACTTGTGGGATGGAAGGAAGGAGAAGGTATCTTCTGTCCAGGTAAAACAAAGCAAAGTTTTTTTTTAACTGAATTCGAAAGTTATCTATGACTTTACCATAAAAATCTGAATGAAAGTTTTTAATTAGGATGTTGCCTGGAAGGTTTGTCAATTAAGTTTCGAAAAAAGTGAAACCTTTAACGGAAACATATCAGCATTTAGCAAACTCTTCGGGGTAAATGAAATTGCTTTCACATTTGAACTTATAATACCTCATTTGAACTAACTGTAAAACGAACTAATTCTTAAATCAGAAAGCTTCGGTGTATTTTTCAAAAATTTAAATTACCTTATAAGGTATTTCTACCGCCTTCCTAGCGTGCTTTCGTGGTGTAGTGGTCAGCACACTGAGCCTTTTAGAGGTCCGTGGTTCGATTCCCGGCGAAGGCGATTGCTCATTTTTCATCTCGCCTGCTTTAAACAAAAATACCTAATGTCTCTAGAACTTATGAAAATTATTAAACTTTAAAAAGACCTTCCAGGCACTTTGGGTTTCATGAAGCATAACTGTAATCGAAAGGGTCATGTATGGCAATGTAATTCATGTATGGCAAATTAGGCAGAGATGTAATTCTATGTCGTGAAGTAACAAGCATTATAAATTTCTTAATTAACGCATTATTCATATTGTTATAAAATATGATAAATTCCACAGCATTGTATGTTGTTTTCAAAGTATAATTATTGAATAGTAATAAAGGATAAAAAATAGTGATTATTTATTCAAAATAATTATATGAAGTTACATAGATGCTTTTCCTAAATTTAATTTATAATTACAGTAGAATTGCATTTCATCTAGACTCCAGTTATACGTGCATCGCGTCATTTGGATTGTTTTCCGGGCCAAGTTAAATTTGTTGTTCCTTTATAAACTTGTTTCTAATCTTTTCTTTCTTTTGAATATCCCGAAAGAACAACTCATTACGGAAGAACTTTTATAAGTTGTTAAATTAATTTAGAGGAATATTTACAACATATAGATTAGCTTTAAAATGTTCGAAAAATGCGTAATTGACCGAAAAATTCATTAATTTTAACTTCCACTGTTTAACTGTGGCTTCAAATTATAGCAACAATTTAATTATATATAGTACATAATTTTAAGGAAATAAAGGTACTTACGTATTAACGCCACCGCACTTACGTATTAACACAACTGCAGCAGAAGTTGCGCTGATGCGCCAATAAAGTGCAATCCTGTTGTTCGCACGCAGGTATTTTTTGAATTCCTTTTTTCCTTGTTGTTTGCTGAATTTTGACGCCATTTTTTAGTGCTACGAAAATGCGTCTTTGGGATTTGCCAAACACAGAAGAAGATGCAATTTTATTTTTTCAAGAGCGAATATTTTACCAAAAAAGGTTTGACAACTGGTTTGAAGGAAGCAGAATTCCATTTTGCCCAGCTTTGAGATTTATATACTGTTGGTGCGAGGAGTCGACGTCGATTAAATTTTGTGAAAAGCAACTTGATTTATCGGATAAAACTGTTATATAGATTGGAACAATTACATGCGTGAATTATGTGTCTTGGATATGGAGAATAAACCAAGCAAGAAGGTAGGTGGACCAGATTGCATTGTGGAAATTGATGAAAGTTTCTTTACGAAGCGTAAAAATAATTGTGGTCGAGTTTTATCCTAACAATAGGTGTTTGGTAGAGAAACAAAAGATTCGTTTGTTGTCACTGTTCCTAATAGAACTGCCTCTGCCTTTCTTAATAAAATTATTGAAAACACTGCAGATAGTAGCACAATTTATTCTGACAGTTGGAAAGGTTACCAAACAAATAAAATAGAAAAAGAAGGATTAGGATTCCTACATGCTAAAGTTAATCATAAATACAGTTTTATTTATTGATCCTGATACAGGAGTTCATACACAAACTGTTGAGAGGAATGTGGGGCAGTGCTAAATGGAGGAACAAGAAACATAGGTGGACAGCGAGACATCATTTAGAATCTTCTTTAGCAGAGTTCATATGGCGACAGCATCAGGTCAAAGAAAATAGAGACTGTTTTGAATCTGTGTTAAACTCTACATCGGCCCATTTTCCCCCGAAATCCGATTGACTACTTTGATTTTAAATAAAGTATTTTAATTTATTATTTGTCGCAAAAATTTTAGGTGTAGACTGGCGGCACTTAAAAACCGCCAAACCTGCAGCTGGGGCGGCGTTAATATGTAAGTACCGAATTAAAGATATTCTTCTCAAAATTTTGTTGTGTAAGAGTCAGCAAATTCTAATAAAGCAGTAAATTCTCACGTTTAATTCTAGGTGAAAGCAATATTGAATTTTCAAGTGTTTCTGCTAAGTATAAAACGTAATAGCTCTGAACTAGCTCATAATCTAAGATGTGAGAAAGACATACCTCGACACCATCTTGATTTGGTTCACTGTGTTTCATCTCCTTTCCTTGTCGCCTTTTAAGTGTGACAGAGATATAAGGAATTAAAGGCATTTCTCTCATCTGTCATTCTAACGTAGTGATGAGCATATTCAACTGCCGAGTGAAATGTTTTGGGTTCGATTCCTGGTGAAGAGATAGCTAATTTTTCAAGTTTATTTCTTACGAAAGTCTATAATCTATCTATCTATAATTTTCTAAAGAAAATTGTTTGAGTAAAAAAAATTGGATCTTTCCAGTAAAGTTCTATAAAGAAAAAGATCCAATTTTTACTTCTAAAAGTAATTGTAAGTTCTATTTTTCAGGAGGATCTATGGCAAACATGTACGGAATGTCCTTGGGGCGTTTTCATGTCAATCCTTCTGTTAAAACCAAAGGAATAAGAGATTTGCCTCCTTTGGTTGGTTTCATTTCAGAAGAAGTTAGTATTGCTTTCTAAATATTTTAAATAATTACCTTATTTGTACTAAAAACCAAGTTAAGGATTACTTATTTTGTAATTTTTGTAGACATCTCAACTACCTAATTGTGCAAAAATACCTTCTAATGCCTTAGTGAATACCAAATACATGCACGGTTTTGCACCCTACAGGAATAAGAAATTTGCTATGTAAAATATATTCACAATACAGCGATTTAAGAGGAATACTCCCATCAATTTTGAAGGTGGTTAAACTAAATATTAATATGTTAAAATTAAGAATAATATGCATTATCGGTAGGGTATTAAAGTGTACGGCAGAAGAGTTGACTTCAGTTTTCCAGGCTTCGTATACTTTATTAGGCTTCAGGAATCGTTTAAATTAAGATTTTCAATAATGGCTGAAGATAAGATTCAACTTTCCATTATTTACAATATAAATTCTTTAAAATTGATGAACATTGAAAATGCCATGGTTCAAAAAACAAAAATTTATTACAGACTAATACGCAGAGAGTGAAAAAAAATACAGAGGTTATATATATAACTTTACAATGGATCATGTTTTAACAAATCATAAACAAGTCACATAAAACAACCAATCAAAAATAACATAAAGAAAATATAAACAAACAGAATGCGATTAAGTTTTAAGTTTCAGAATGCATCGGACCTGACATAGAGATAATGCATCGGACGTGACAGAAAGCTATACTTCTTTTTAACCAATAAGAATGCGATTACAAATATCTCAACAAAAATTAAGTGAATAAGGGTATGTGCATGTTAACAGTTATCAGCAACGTCGAGTGGCGAAAAGACATGGAGATAACTTGGTGCGAAATACTAGCCTTCTTCTTGAAACCATGCCTTCTTCATAAGCCATATCATCTTCATATTTTGAAAAACACTTCTGGATCTCTCTGTCAGCTCCTTTAAAATTAGTGCCACAACCACTAAAATTCCCTACTGGTTTACCTCTTCTCGCAATGAATCGTTTCAGGGTTTATAAGAATGCATTAAAAGAAAAATCTTCGATGACTTCTAAATCTTCGTCATATTCATCATATTCATCTCCTTCATATTCATTTAACCTCATTTTACCCATACAATAAATTTATATATCACTAAAGAAAACATGTTGTTCAAGTGAAATATCGAAAAGTTACAAAAGAGAATAAGAAGAAACTGTCTTATTAAAAGGCTGAATCACATTTACAACAGCCATTTGCATATTTACTGTTGGTACAAGGACATCAAAAACATTTGGCAAAGATATGAAGGATAAAATCGTTGCAGATTGATATAGTTGTCTTCAAAGAGTTTATGTGTTATCGAAATAGAGGAAGGGATCTTATTCCAGGTTCTCAGATTCTCAACCGAAATCTGCGGCATGCAGACTACCGTTGCAGTTATCTTGGTATAAAACGAAGTTTCTGTTAACAATTAATACACAAATACCGAAAGACGGAAAAAGTTATTTACGATTTACAGAGCTCGTATTGTTAAGTAGGGTCATGTCATATTTTGAATTTAGAAAGAAATGATTCATAATAAGTACCTGAAGTGTTTAAAATAATTTTAATTTGTTCTACAGAGAACTATGAACTATTATCAAAAATTGTAATATAAAAGCGTTGTTAATAAATAGGACCAAGTTCCAACTAGATGATTTGAGAAAGACGTTTTGATGCGTAATTTTAGCATTTACTTTATTCCGATTTAGTTTCGAACTACCACGTACTGGGCTGTGATTTTCAGTAGCTGGAAATTTATTTTTATGTAGTTTTTACCTAATTAGAAAAATGTACTGCAAAACAAAATCGAACCAAAATATTTTTTCCGTCTTCTACATGCAGAACTGCAGAAGCTAAAACTACAACTCCATCGTCTAATATAACCACAGGACTGAAAATTTATAATAAATATCCAGCATGGATCTAAAAGTTTCGGATTCTGTCTTTTAAGTCTATTGTTGAATAATTGACGTCACTTAGTAACAGTCAAAGGAATGATTATTTTAATTTAGTTTATGTTTTTTGGGCACTAGATCGAGAACGTCAGTTTTCAAGATTTCTTCGAAATTATTTGTTTTGGGGTTTCAGTTTCAGAGTTTTCAAATGTTGGCAAAAAGCGATACATTTTCGTCGCCTTTTTTTTTTTTTTTTTTTTTTTTTTTTTTTTTTTTTTTTTTTAAGTTGACAAATTTGGAAAATGCAAAGTTCTCCTGATCCCGGGTTTCTTTCATATATTTTAGGTTTTACCGTAAACTTAGAAGTTATACTTTTGCTTTGTTTTTTATTAATATAAAGTCAGGATCTTGATGCTAGAGGTTCGATTCATTTAATTTATTAAACAAATATGTCAGATAAACTATATCTGTTTTTGAATATATCAGGCCTACTTGTAAAGTAGAATTTTTAATCTTTCAAAAAGTCTAGATGTGAATTGAAGTATAACTCAAACAGGCTCAAAAATAGTTAACCGGGTTCCCTTATAGCCAACGAACTTCTGTGGTCCTACAACCTACTGAGCCGACGCTGTTCTCACTCTGTATTATGCATATAATTTCGAAATAAAGATAACTTATTGTTCATTGCTGTCTCTGTTTGCCGAGTTCCATTACTTTCTAGCCGCTTCTACTTGGTGTTGCATTTTCAGTGTCGGGTGGTGTATTTGGTGGCTTCGCTTTCAGATGCGCCAGTAATAAAACCATTGTAACATGCAGCTACCGCTGAATCACCATCGGTAGCAACTAATACTATTTTATTTGGGGTAATTTTTTCCTGCCAAAAAAATCTCACCCAACATGGAAGAATGATTTTCGTTTAGTGTTAGTTCTTAAAGCTCCGGCAAATATTAACTCTTTCCGAATTCGTTTATTACGAATGAAACACATATAAGTGACTAAAACTTCATTCCCCGATAAAGTTCTTCAAGCTGCATTGAAAACTTACAGGCTTTTATAAAGTTACATAAAGCCTTTTTAATTATTCCCGTCATTTCATTGGTTCTTTTTTGGATGGCGTCGTTACCCAAAGGATCTTATGATTTCGGATGGTGAATTACCTAGCAGAATCATACCTTCTTTATAAGCAGTTCTTCCCCAGTCGTAGGTAGTTTCCCTGACTTCTTAATAAGCAATATTATCAGAATACACGCAACTCGTACTCATTTTGTTTCGATGCTGTTGAAAAGATATTTGCGAATGTGTACCGTTTTACAAAATTCTCCTTAAGTGCTTGAAAATAAAGCGTGCCTCTATCCGTTTTATCAGGACGAATATTTGAGTAATATTCTTAGAGTTTGGAAGGCTTCATAGTTCCATTTGAGCAAACTCGGTCAGTAATCAAACCGCTTTAGTTCAATGTATGTATCTGAGACAGTAGATATCAGTTGCGAATAATGTATTCCTGGAAAGTTAGTACTCGAATATTGGCATAAAAACATTATTTTTTCACCGCCAATGGTTATGTGGCGCAATATGACTTAGAGCTTCAGCCGCCAATTTGGCGCCCATTTTGAGAATCACTGGCATAGCGTATTCCTTATTAGCTGTTCTCCTTCTTCTGTTTATTAACCAATACATGAAAGACCATTGCGTCTTTTTAAAAACATGTTAAATTTGCGTCGTCTTCTGGAAAGGATTGTGTTGAAACGAGAAATAAAAGCAAGCAAAACGTAGAATGCTAACTGATGATTAGTTGAAACAAAACCTAATATTGCAACCTCCTGTATATCCCAGTTTTCCCGTTTTTAAATCAAATAGTCAAGCTTTATTTTCATTCTATGAGCTTAAACACTGATATATTTTCTTTAAAATTATTTGTATTTTGTTCCTTCCAGGCTCATTACTCTTTGAAGAAGGGTGCTCTGTTTTTAGGCTTGGGTACTGACAGCATCGTTGTTATTCCTACTGATTCTCAAGGACGTATGCTCCCGGATGAGTTGGAAAAAGCCGTATTAAAAGCTAAAAGTGAGGTACGTTTAAAATCCCAAACGTCATACATAACGTTTGGAAGACCTTTTATTAGCTACAATAATGATGATTACGTTTATAAAAATTATCAACTGTATACAGTATAAATAAAATATGTTTTAAATTATAGCTGTTAGAGGCATTACTTTAAAAATGACAAAAAGATTCAAATTTTTGAAAAGTGTATTTATTGTTTATAAATAATTCAGTATGCTAAGCAGTTAATTTAGAAAAAAATTCTGATCTCATGACATCAAATGGTAAAACTGTAGAAAGTGGCAGTTTGCTGTGGAATATAAATCAAATGTCTTGTGTTTTCGTGTAATTGCAACAGCTCCAAAGTTACGTAAGAGAATAAAGTAACTTAATGTAACGGATAGAAAATTTCGTTACAGACATATCTAGCGTCAAAAACTACTATCTATAAATATTTAAAATTTTCTTTTTTTAATTTTATCAAATTTCATTCATTTAACTTTATCAATTCAATCATATTTGAATCTTTTACAAAATGTCAGTAATGCCTGATTAAAATTAAATTATAAAACATATACCTCTGGTTAGACCATTATGTTGTTGATGGCGTTTAAGATTTTTATTGTCATTATGTTACCATCTACGTAGTAGTTATTACCTGACTATTAAAATAAATAAATGTTAAGCTTCAACAACAAATATTCAGTTACTTCCTAATTAGTAAACCTAGTCACAATGATTATGATAATAATAGTTTATGTATCTTATTATAGGGCAAAGTGCCGTTCTTCGTCTGTGCCACTTCTGGTACTACAGTACTAGGAGCTTACGATCCACTAAAACCACTAACTGAAGTCTGCAGAAGACATAACATGTGGTTCCATGTCGATGTAAATACATTTCTTACTTTCTTTTCACAAACTTGGAGAGAACAATATTCATTGAATTTATGTATAAAAAATGTGAAATAATAATTGTAAAAACTAATTTTACAAATGAAACAGTGTTTCGTAATATTACTTTAATTTGCTTTAATTCTAATTATTGAAATTTGCAGTAAAAAGGCAAATTAAATTTTGGGACCATAAGTTCTAGATGAAATTTTATCTTTAACATTTTTGGCCATCATTATTATCAGCTAGACAATACAATTTAATTTAATCTAACTCTTTTGAATCGGGAGTGACGTACACCAGCGATATACTAACTAATTAGCCAGAATGCGTAGCCGCTGCTAAGATTGATAGCTGGAGGACAAAACAGCAGACGTGAGCTTCAATAGCGAAATTACGCTCTGTCTAACCTTCTCCTTTCCACAGTTTAAATACTTTCGTTCACGTACTTAATTTTCAGCCTGGCGAGGAAATGAGAGAATTCGGAAAGGATACTAAAATTAAAATAACAGGTTAGTGAACTAAGGAGAATCCTACAATCTGAAAATATTTGCTTAGAACACATATGGTATCTATATTCATTTAATTTTCATTTTATCATCTTTCAGATTAAATTGTTTCGTATTTCTTATCTTAAATATGTACAGATAATTTTTATTTCAATGGATCTTCTGAGCTGTGGTGCACTATTGTGCTACTATATATCATTCCGATATTTCAGGGTGCTTGGGGTGGTGCTACTATCTTTTCTCGGACCCATAGACGCCTCATGGATGGAGTCGACAAGTAAGAGGCTTTTAAAATTTGCTTTTTAATAAAAATTATTTCAGGCAAAATATTACAAGAAATTAAGACATTCAAATGAATTTTAACCCTAATTTTCATATTGCGATCTCTCAGCCCACTATATCTTCTTACTCACTGTTAACTTTGTGCTAACGAAAGAATATGGTACTTCCTATCTTTTATGTATAAACTCTTCTTAAATTCTTATTCAATATCTACGTGAACGACATTCCCACAACACAGAACACAACACTCGCAATGTATGCTGATGACACTGCGATCCTCTCGCAAAGTGCATTTGTTAGCCCAGCAATACAATGACTACAAGATTGCATAAACACACTCGAGACTTGGCTGACAAAATGGAAAATCAAAGCTAATGTGGACAAGACTCAAGCAATTCTTTTCACCAAGAAGATTAAATTCAACCAAAACCTGCAACTCTTTGGAGAAGTCATCCCATGAGCCAAGCAAGTCCTTTATCTTGGGGTGATCCTCAGTAAAATTCTATCATGGTACCCACACATAACATCTATCCTTAATAAGTTAGTAAAGTCACACTTCACCCCTTAATTTCTCGAAACAGTATACTTTCAATAGACAACAAGTTGCTTATTTATAAAACCGTATTGCGTCCCATACTATGCTATGCCTGCCCGGTCTGAGCATATTCATGCAAATCTTATAGGAAAAATTGCAACAGGCAAAACTTTGTGTCCTAAGACAGATTACCAATTCGCCTTGGTACGTTCGAAATCAAAAGTTTCATGAAGAATTGGGTATAGAACAACTTAAGAGTTTTTACAGCCGGCTCTACCGGAACTTTTATGCCAATCTTGTTAATAATATCAACAACCCAGTTATAAGGATTCACGATTACGACTTTAATGACCCAAATAATAGTAAACGGCCTATAGCCATACTTAATACACATATTGTATAACTTATTTAATCTAATATATACCTCTTAATAGTGTGTGATAGATTTAAGGTTTAATTATTACTTAGTGCTCCAAAAACCTCACACTACTTTGCCTATTATTTATACGAATGATTTTTTTGCATCAGGCTATAGCCAGCTCATTCCTCCTTTCGGCCTTCCCAGATAGCACTTCAGGTCTATTGAAACTTGACGCACACTTTAGTCTTTTTAGAAATTTATCTTTTTAATTTATCTCTTATTTCTATTTTTATAATTTTAAAAAATGTTAAAAACATGATTTAATTTTTTATATTTATATATATAAAAAAATTCTAAATATATACTAGTTACTCATGACAGTATTCGAAATAACATATCTGTTCTACAAGGGGTAGGGTCTTTGACCCAGGCACCCTGGTGCTACACCGTTCCCCTCAGTGCATCATTCTTAAATTATTAGATTTTTACGGGATGTGTAAGTATAAACAAGTTACCGGCTTGACTTTTGCATTTAAGAGAAGTGCCACGTAATTCTGCAGTGATGAAGTAGTAAAATACTGCTCTTTCTTTTCCATCATAAAAGTATTTTACAAGCCGCATATCAGGAAAATTATCATGATAACTAAAGTTGGCAGGCATCTCTTTCTAGCCTTATCAGCACTCTTGATTGGTCCCTCACTTTCATTCAGGAAGAAAAGGTATTTTCCGCGTGTTTATAATGCCAAACCGAGCTGGGTCTCCGAAGTTATCATCACACCGCAAAATTATTGGAGCTCTGACCTCATTTGGAATTTCTTAAAAGAATAGGAATAAATGAACTTAATCTAATTTTGCATGATAGACTTCTCAAAATAAAAATAATTTAAATATTACAAAGCTTAATCAAAGCACACAATTTTATATCCAAATAAAAATTTCTGCAAGGCAATGGCTTCATTTTCTTAACGCAGTGATCAAAAGCTCTTCTCGTGACTGATCTTGATATAGATTTAATATTCGAAAATGTGCTTTTCTTTATTGTTCGAATTTTTCGAATCCTAATCTAAAAAAATTAATATGTTTTAACTCAGAAACTTCGGAAAGATAAGTTTTATCAATAATGAGTGAAGCGTATACTAAACGAAGAACAGAAGTTTTGAAATATCAGTATGCCTGGATCTCGTAGTGGCCCTGAGTTCAGTTCTACGCTCTTAACTTTCTAGAGAGAATTTAATATTGCATGTTTAGTATTTATCTATATTAATTCTTGAAATAATCCTCTCTCCTCTACTCCTAGATTCCGAAAAATCTAGGAGTAGAGAGATCTGAACAGTTATTTAAATCACTGAGTAAATTAGGTAGAGAAAATGAGCTTCATAACTCAAGACTTTTAATTGCTACTTCATTTACACCATTTTAATGACTACACGTACATTTTTAAAAGTGTATCTTAATTTTTTTGTATTGTAGAGACATTAGGTATTTTTGAAAGCAGAAGGGATGAAAAATTAGCAACACCTTCGTCGGGGATCGAACCACGGACCTCTGGAATACCGGCCCAGCGTGCAAAGCCACTAGACCCCGAAGGCACGCTAGGAAGGCCGGGGGAATTACCTTATATACTACCCCTTTTAAAGGGCGACTGGGGTTTTTAGAGGACCCAATCGCCAAATTTGGGTGCGGAGAGTCATCATCCAACAACCCTTTTAGTTCGGGCGCCACTGTTGAGACATTAGGTACTTTTAGAAGCTGAAGAGATGAAAAATTAGCAACACTTTCGCCGGGACTCGAACCACGGACCTCTGGAAGACCGGCCCAGCGTGCAGAACCACTACACCAAGAAGGCACGCCAGGAAGGCGGGAGTACCTTATAGTATAAAAAGCAGATTTCAAATTTTGTTTTAACTAAAACATTTTTTTATTAAGTTTCCTTTTTATTGTTTTATATGATGAACAATAAGAAGGAGGAGAGGTTCAAGAATCTTTTAGGCTTCAGTCTCGTATTCAAGAAAATTCAGGATTTGTCCCATGTCAATTTTTTACATAGTGTACTTTTTACATACATTCTAAGTGCTGGAGATCGATTCATATGTATTAGAATATACCCAAGTATCCAGGTTAGGAAAAAAGGAAAACGGTTTCGATAGGTGTCAAATACCAAGCACAGTTAGGTCCTTAAGGTATCCATTTACATAAATTCGATAAAAGTTGAAACATGGAAGAAAAAGTCAGTCTTGTGGCGAACCCGGTAAACTTCGTCAACAAATTTGATGCAGATATTTACTACTCGCTGCTGAAGAGACAGCGATGATTACTACTCCCCCCCCGGAACTCGTAGATATCTCTCAGATCAGACAGGAGAGAAAAAAATACCATTAAATGACTTCTTTTAGGTAATAATCAAGCAACGTTTATCTAGCTTCTAGCATCACGACAAAATTGGTGTGAATAATGAGATGCAGTAGTTATTTTACTTAGGTCATAAAAATATAACTCTATTAATTATACATACAAATAGCATGCGTTAGGGCAACACCGTCAAGACAAACATTATTTAATGTCACATGATTGTATTTGGTTAACGGAATCTGGTTTCGCCAACGTTAATGATACGAAGCTGACAGAAATAATGTCTGACCGTACATCCCGTTTTTCAGTGTAACACTTGGTTCCTAACCGACAAAATGTGTAAATATTCTGACAGTGTGTAATTGTTATCGCATTTTGTTAAATATTTTTCATTTGAGCCTGTTTTGAAGAGAATTGAAAATAATGTGTGCAGTTGTGTTATTTTATTTCTCAAAACAGAAAAATCTCATTTTAAACACTGAAACAGTATTTGGATTTGTAATGTGGGTGGTGATAATGAAATTAACAAACGAGTAATTCATCACTGAAAGAAAAGATATTAACTAATTTCTGAAACGCTTTGTGACTTATTTGTCTAATCGATGAAGAATGAGCTTTTCAGACTGACAACGGTTATCATTAAAATTATTTGCACCAACTTAAAATACTTCCTGTTTGGGACCAACCTTTTACAAAAGCCGAATTGATATTCTTTATAGATTAATCCAGCTCACCAGCGGCCGAGCGGTAAAGTCGCTGAACACTGGTAGTTCGGTCCGAGGTTCAAATCCCGCGAACGGGCTGGCTGCATGGGTGTTTTCGTGGCTTTCCCCATGTGTAACGTGTATACGATCCAGTTTCCCTTAGAAGGTCCTCCACGAAAGGCATCCCTCCTCTTAGGCAGATAGCCCTAGTGTGCTTTGCCATAATTAAATACACACCTATAGATTAATCCAGTTCTATTGCAGGCTGCTCCATTCAGTATGGTGGTTATATCGAAAGCTGCTGCTATATCGTTGGGTCCAGGTTCCAATCCCAGAGAAGATATTCGATGTTTGTAGCTGTCCCCCTTCTTGTTTGCAATTATCCCTTCTTGCGGACGTAATATCAGTAGCCCACGAAGGGGAAAAATCTGAGCAACGTTTTCGATAAAAATGGTTATATGACTCATAGATTTGGGTCATTCTCAATAAATGCTTAATGAGCAAGTGCCGATGGTTAAAAAACGGAGTTCAGTGACATTAGAGGTCCGCTTATAAATTCAATATGCATTTAATTTATTCTGCTGTATGAGAAATGTTACTACATTTTCTAGTTAAAATCTAGTTTAAAATCCTCAAAGTTGAGTTCAACAAATTCCAGTCAAATTGATTGAGATTGAAATGCTAAAGATGTGAAAAGTTAAAATTTCATTTTTTTTTTTTTTCCCCAATGGCGGGCACTTACTTGCCTATAACGGCAATGGCCACTCCTAAGGCCAGATGTGGTGGCCATTTTATTGTGGAGGCACCTAATAGGCGGCCACTGTTACCTCCTATGAAGAGACAAAATTTTTACATCCATGCCTTCTCTGGAATTCGGTATCGCGTGTGTGTGATTATGGCAAATCCTCGAGGGCTATCTGCCCAAGAGGAAGGATGCCTTCGTGGAGGACCTTCTAAGGGAAACTGGCTCGTATACACGTTACACATGAGGAAAACCACAAAAAAGCCCCATGCAGCCAGCCCGTTCGCGGGATTCGAACCTCGGACCGAACTACCAGTGTTCAGCGACTTTACCGCTTGGCCACTGGTGGGCCCTTCGGTATCGCAGTCAGACACCCCTAACCACTATACAGTCTGGGCGGTAAAAATTTGCAGTGCCCTCGCCGAGACTCGAAACCTGGACATGTCGAATACGCATTGAGTATGCTTCGAATTACACCACGAAGGCGTGAAAATGCATAAGAATTAGATTTTCAAGATAACCTGCAGCCTTGTTTTCTGTCTGAAATGCACATCATTCTAGGAACTTAAGAGAGCTTAAAAAATCCTAGAAAAGCTTCAGTACGTTTCCGCTACTGGAGTGGTCTTGCATTAAGTCAGAACTGATAGAATTCCTTAGTAATTACTAAACTGAATATAACTTAAGTTATAAAATCCAATAAACTTAAGCTTATTAACTGTAAGTTTTCTATAAAAGATGAATTATCCGCATTTGCAGTTTCAGAACATAATGATAAATACACCTCAAAGGCATATCCGTTTTTCGAAGCAAGAGATTTTTATTGTCTTTCAGGTAGATCTCAGGATTTGTAGGAGTCATTTTTGTCACACTAAATTTACTTCCTCATCAAAATATTTACACGAATTTGGATGTCCAAAAAAGGTGAAACGCAAGATGAAACGAGATGCTAGTATCTAAATTCCTAACAACAATGAATGAGTCCATGGAAGTTCTCTAATGGCAATTGCTACTGCAATCCATCTTAATTATCGTTGTGATGTGTGTGCGTTTATGCTCTAAACTTCACTTACATTGTAGAGTCAGTAGATTTTTGAAGCAGGAATGGGAAAACATCAATACCTTCACTGAAACTTTAACTCTGGACCTTCCGATAGCTAACCGGACGTGATTCTAATTACACCACGAAGGCAAGTGGCAAGAAGGGAGAAATAATTGCGTTCTTCCCCACTTAAAGGACGACTGGTTATGCAGGGACCTAGTCGCTAAATCCAGGTGGGGACGAATTATCGTCTACCATATTTTAGTTTGGATGCCACTGCCAAATCAATAGGTTTTTCTTTAAAGCGGGAACGTGAAAAATGAGCAGCGTCCTCGTCGAGATTCGAACTCTGGACCTTCCGATTCCTAGCCTGACGTGTTTCGCTTATACCCCAAAGGCTCTCGGTAAAGGGAGAGAAAATTCTTACAATATAATTCCCATTTCTGGAATAATCAAACGCAGACTTGATGAAACAACATTTCTGAACTAAAAATGTCTAACTGCTAGCAAAACAAGAGTAAATCTTACGTATGGAAAATAATGATTTAAAAAACTTCTTAGTAGTTGGAGTCCGTATTTTTTCGACAAGTCTCATGCATTTATTCCGCCATCAATTAAATTTTACATCCTCAATAATGAAAATGTTTTATCGTTGGCAGTGGTTTGTACAAGTACTCAAAGATAAACAACTCAGGAGATGGATTAATAGAAAACTGCTTATGTGCACTTAATATATGCAAAAGTCAACAATTCTTATCATCAAGCAATGAGTAATTTTATTCATTTCATTTAGTACACTAAGAAGTTAAAGTGAAATATGACATTTAAAATTTTGAAATTCACGTATACTTATGAAATGATTCTTTTTCAGAGTGGACTCAATTACGATTGATCTACATAAGATGTCCGGGGTACCATTTCAATGCACAGTGTTCCTGACTCGACATAAGGTATTACTATTTTGTGTATAATTTTCACGTTTATCGCCAGCAGCTCGTAAAAAATAATGATTAATACAGAAAGATATAATTTTCTCAAAAATATTTTTCTACGTTTACTGTAGCATCTCAACGAATATTCTTAAGGAACGATTAGACTTTTACTACTTCGCAGAATGCAATGTCTTGTTAGATCAATGAGATCATAAAGAATTTCAGTACAAAATAGTGACTTTATATTAAAAGTGGAATTTTCTTATATTATTTCTCAGATTTCGTACAGGACTTCCCTGGGGTTAAGAAAAGTACTTTTCTTCATACTGACCTTTAATTTCACGGTTTAAATCTTGAAATATTAAAAAGCCTTGAAAGAAAACTTTTAAAGCAATAAAACAAACACATTTTTTTAACATTTTTGTGCACAAATGTTGTAACTTAATTAGTAAACATTATGGTCACTGAGCAATTAGACTGTATTACACGTATGGTCTACCCATCCTAATCGGTTTAGCGGTTAACGATGGTAGCTGCCGTGTTACTGCTTCCGGTCTCGAATTTCGGAGAAAGCTTGGATACTTGGTAAGCGCATAATGTTGTTGCGGCATGAAGCCATTTAAAGACACGGCAATCTGAAGTTTCACTCGAGAGGTTTGCTGGTGTCCTTGAACTTGGAACCCAGAGTGTCATCTCCAGGCTTTGGCAACGATTCCAAGATGATGGTAATGTGAGTAGACGTTACAGCACAGGTCGCCCCAGAGTTACAAAGCCTAATGAGACCGGTATTTGGCAGTTACTGCCAAAAAAACAGGTGGAGCACAGCCTGAGACCTGCCTCGTCAGCTCTCTTCAGCCACTGGTACGACAATTTCAAGGCAGACCGTGTACAGACGCTTAGGGCAGATTGGTTTATATGCTTCGTAGACCTGTCAGATGCGTTCCACTTACTGCAACTCACTGTCGCCTGCGGTTAGCCTGGAGTAGAGAGCATGCATTGTGGACACCGCAACAGTGGGCTTGTGTGATGTTTTCCGACGAGTCCAGGTTTAGCTTGCTTGCAGTCTGATTCTCGCCGGACTTTCATATGGAGAGCTCCAGGTATTCGTTACCACCAAGAAAACATCATTGAACGACACCGTTACGGTGGTGTAGGAGTGCTCGTTTGGGGTGGAATTATTCTGGGTTCCAGAACTGACCTTCATGTTCAAATTGGAATCATGACAAGCCAAATCTATCGGGACGTCATTCTGGAACAACATGTACATTTGTTTCGGGGTGCCATGGGCACACAATTTGTGTTTATGGATGACAACGCCAGTCCTCACCGTGCAAATATCGTAAGCGAATGCCTTCAATCGGAGGATATCACCCGTACAGACTGGCCAGCATTCTCACCAGACTTGAATCCAGTAGAACACGTGTGGGACATGCTTGGCCGACGAGTTGCAGCCCGTCAACCTCCTTCTACATGTCTACCGGAACTTCGGAGTGCATTGCTTTTTGAGTGATGTAATATCCCCAAGATCAGATCGATAATTTGATACTCAATCAAAACCATTTCCTGTCTACTAAAATTTCGAGTTTAGTGTTATATTATTGAGCAACAAATGAACTCATGGATAAAGATTTACTTTGATATTTATGTAGGAATATATTATTTTTTATACATTTCAAATTTTTGTCGGTCAGTATTGAATAATGCTTTTGCAAACAGTTTTTAAATATCCCTTTCTTGTACACAATATAGATACGAAAGTTAATTAAAACTATTATTAAAGTTAATTAAATCAAATTTTAGAAATATGTATACAAAAAATCACAAAACCAATAATATACACAGAATTACATATATATATAAAATATGATGCTAACTAAATTAAATAATAATAATAATAAATAGGATGCTAACTAAAATAATAAAACTATGAAATATTTCCTAGTACGAAAAGTTGACTTCAAAATTTCTGAACGGGTTGTAAAATATCACGCCAATTCAAATTTTAGTTTCTTTTCAAAACTGATGCAAAAATTGCATCAAGAAAATAAGATAACAGTTTAAAAGCAGAAATTTCGTTTATTTCTATTAAAAGCATAAATTTCGTTTACCGTTGTTAACTGTCTTTTCCCAAGGTAAGAGCCGTGTTCCTTAAAGAATCCTCCACGAAAGTATCTTTTCCTTTAGAAACAGATAACCCTGGTGTGCTTCTCCGTAATCTCCTCGCCCCCCCCCCAAAAAAAAGAACAAGTCCGTTAACGCATCTTCAGCATTTTTTCTTACAGGTACTTTAAATGAACGCGTTTCTTGTGTTGCTATATTTTTACCTATTTGAATTTAATTTTTCTTTTAAATAGTTAAACAGCCCATACTATAAAAAGATAAAGTAAAATTAAAATAACAGCAAAAGAAAACAAGTGCCAAATCTGCATATAAATTATGTAATCATTTGAAGCATGAAAGGTTATGTTCCCCCAAATTGTATATTTTAATAATTTTCAGCTTTTTTAATTTGTAAACTTCAGAGAAATGCTTCACTTATTACAATCCCTTGCCACTTTTCGTATAATCTCTGTTATTATTTTACTCGGGAACTTTTCATTGTGGGATCGAAAAAGAAAGCTTAAAGTTTCATAAACCAAATATTAAAAGTTCATTAAAATGTTAAACCCTCAAAAAATCCAATATAAAGCACGTTTGTATAAATTTTATATGTGCATTAACGGTTAAACACAGTTCTGTTCTTAATTTCAGGGTATTTTATACAAATGTAATGCACTGCATGCTGAATATCTCTTCCAACCTGACACATATTATGATACCCACTATGACTTGGGTGATGAAAGCATCCAGTGTAGCCGAAAGGTAGACTGCTTAAAATTATGGATTGCTTGGAAAGCCAGAGGTAGCCTAGGTTTAGAGAAACAAGTGGATACGGCATTTGCAATGGCCAAGTAAATCCCTTTCTTCTTATATGTATGCAACAGATCTATTATTATTGTTGTTGTTAACGATATTGTTTTGATTATTATTATTTTATCTTCACCTCAAATCTAATGCTTAAGATTCTGTTTTTCCATATGTTATTATGTGCAATATTAAAGTTTTGCATCACTTATCTAGGATAATTTAGTCAGTAAAATAAGAAGTAAGATTAAAAAAAAAAATTTATTTTAAACATGCAGGTGACCGTTACCGATTTAGTATTAGGTAATATTGATAATAATAATCGAGAGCTATTACTAACACACAAATTACTAACGCAATTAGCATGTTAGTAATTGTTAAGCGATGAAAACAAGAAATTTTTAAAAAAGTAAGCTCTGAAAACTGAGAAAAATCTAAAAACTTATACCAACTATTTCGAGTTAATCTATAACGCCAGAGTGATGAAATATTCAATTTCAGTAAGCCGATCTGCAGTTTAGTAATGGAAGGGAATAAAGTAATTATAAATTAAGTAATTATAGGATGAAAGTAAAGTAATTATAAATCTATAAATGATATATTTTAAGGAAATAAAGTAATTATAAAATCTAGTCTTTTAATTTTTACTGTTGTCGAATTTGATTAATAAAATTGATTTTAAAAAGTGAATATAAATTAGTTACTATTACTTTTATTCAAAAGTTTTGTTATATCAGAGATTAAATTTTAGAGAAACATTAAAGCTACATTAATTGATCAGTTATTCATTTTTTAACTTTGATTCGTCAGAAAAAGCGATTATATTTATACGACTGCAAACGTGGAATTGCTTTTCATTTTTCTTCCAAAAGCTTCATACTCAAAGTCACCAGATTTATAGTGTTAATTCAACAATTTTTTTTTAGAAAATTGAACTTCATGACGTTTTCAATACAACCTTTATTCGAAATAATGGCGAAGAATAAAATTTGCTTATTATGGTACATAGCAAATCAATAAAGCTATTGTTTGAACAATTGATTAAGACCAAGATTTACATATTGTAGGAAAATAAGATATTAACTTTACATCATTACTATATTTGTAAAGAAATCACAGGAGCTTAGTGATGTTTACTAAAAACCAGTTTCAGTATTACATCCTAGTGATTCAGATAATTATCTTCTGAATGATTTAATTATAACAAAATACCTTTTAACTAACCATTATTTATTAGATTTAGATTCTATTAGATTTATTTTATATAAACTGGAATAAAAAACGCTTTTACACAAGATACTCAAGAAAGATGGTTATAGGCTTGATTTCTTCAAGTATTGATCTAAAACACGTACTACAAATTAACAGCTTCTCAATGTAAAATGAATAATATTATGAAAACGATTTCATTAATGTTGATGGGAGAGTTTTATAAGACACAAATTTTATATGTTGCCCGTAAAATAAAAATTCCAGTTAATAAAATATTTATTATCACTTTGCAAGTTCAACAATTCGAAAGTTTCAACTTATAGACGCCAAAACCAGGCAGATATTCGAGAACGAATTTACAGACATACACTATTATTCAATACTTATTTCTGATTAACATCTGATAACTTTGAGCCAAGTATAGATAACACTACAAAACCAAAGTTTTGGCAAGTAGTGGTTCTGTACAGAATAAAACAGCTCTTGTTATTATGGAACTTTGAGTACTTAATTTAGTAAAGGATACTGAATATTTTTTAAGGAAGTATTGCATTCCTCTTTGCTTGCTGTTGTGGTGTAAATGATTAACATGTTCAGCCGGCAGTTAGGAGATCCGTAATTCGAATCCCGGCAAGGACATAAATAATTTTTTACGTTTCTTGGCTCTTAAAGAAAGTGTCCGATAATCTCTACAAATAAAATGTCGTGTCTGTCGAAATAAAATGCCGCGGACGATAATTCTTCACCACCTAGATTTGGTCGACCGAGTCTCATATCTCTTGCTTAGTTTAAGTGGTAGATAATGTAAGGAATTATTGCATCACCCTTTGCGTGCTGTTGAGGTGTAAGCAGTCAGCATGTCCAAATAGCAGATGGAAAATCCGTCGTTCGACTTCCTGGGAGGGCAAGGTTGCATTCTCATGCCTTTCGTTTCAAAAATTCTGATAGCCTCTACAACCGAACTAAAGTGTGGTGGAAAATATGTAATTCCTCGCCTCCTTAATTTGGTCGAATAAGTATCGTGGCTCCACTTAAACAGCGACTAAGCTCTTTAAGTAGAGGAGAATATAATGAGTTATCGCATTCCCTTATGCCTGGTCTCGTTGTGTAAGTGGTCACGTCCAGCTAGCAGACTGAAGCTCCGTGGCTCGAATTTCGACGAGAGTGTAGCTAATTTATTTCATCTTTCCTACTCTAAAAAAATCTAACGTCTCTCCAGTTTTACTAATTGAAATTTTGTCTTTGCGGTAACATTATAAAAAGTCAAGTTTTTTATATACAAATCTCATCTACTCAGTTGAAACTGTTTTTAGAATATTTTTATAATTTTGAAAAATTTTGTAGTTCGAGGTACATACTCAGAATCAGTATTTAAGGAAATAAAGTTTACCTTCTATTTGAATATCTTGTATAATAGCAAAATCACAAGTCACTCATTCCGTTTTCAACAAATCCGTATTTGAAAATATAAAGAAAACAGGAAACAGGATTTGCTTATAACTTTATAACTTGCCGTAATTACTGTATTTGTAAAGATTCCTTCTCAGTTAGAGCTAAGCTACTTTCCACTGAAATTTCATCTACAGCATTTTATTATTATATAGCTCTTATATAAGGTTTCCAAAACCTTCAAAGAAATTCTCGAAGGTGATAAAAGTTTACTTTTTATGTTTGCTCACATACTTATTTATTGTTTTGCGTGTTTAGTTTACTTTATGGAATATTCATGTGATAATTTTTCTTGAAGGTATTTGGAGGAAAAAGTGAGATCTACTGAAGGCTTCATTCCCGTGCTGCCAGAGGTATGTAACCGTCATTATAATGAGAAATGTTTAATCACGTAAATGATACCAATAAATTAATATCTTATAAAAAAGATGCATTCCTGAGAACATTCATAAATCAGATAAGTCTGCAACTCACATCCTCGACTTATACAGTAGCATTAAAGTTATAATATTCCCATAATGGCTCAAATGTGATAATACTAATGCCGTGCGATGCTGTAATAATAATGATAATACCATTTACAGTAACAATATGTTACTCATAAATTTTTGTGCTCTTTAAATTCAAACAAATGGAACGTAGGAAAAAAGGTTTGGACTAAAGTATTCAGAAAGGAGAAGTTTTGAGGCGAAAAGATAAGCAATTCTAACCTCGATTATGCCGAAGGGTAAAGTGAGTTTTGAAGAATCGTGAATTAATTTTGTTACTGGAGGGCCGCGAAGTTTATAAGGAATATCCTTCTTCCTCACCGCATACCTTCGAATTGTGACTGAAAGCACGTCCGGCTAGCAATCGGTAGATCTGAAATAAAATATGGTAAATGAAAATTTGTCATCACCTGGACTTGGTGACTGGGCCCTCATTGTTCCCAGTCAACTTTTAAGAGGGGGAATGTAAGAATGTTTTTCCTTCCTCACCTCTTGTCTTCGTGGTGTAAACGGAAGCACGTCCTGCTAGCATAGGAAGGCCGGAGTTCGAGGACTTAGCTGATTTCTTAAGCTTCCTGCTTATTAAAAAAATAATAATCGCGTAAAAAGTTTATCAATGAAGTCGGATTTTCGGAAAAGTCTAGGAATTATCATATTCCTCCGCGAGTGTTCACGTGCTGTTAGCGGTTAGCACATCCAGTTGATTTTTCATGTCTCTTAGTCTCCAAAACACGTAATGGTCTCTATAGTTGTACTCAAACGAAAAATATGGTGGATAATAACTCGTCACCTTGGTTTATTCGACTAAGTCTCGTGCTCTCTTTTGTCACTCTTAAAGAGACGGAGGAAGTATCGAGTTCTTCTACACTTTCTCTCAAGGTGTAAGTCATTATCAGAATCAACTAGCAAATCCGCGGTTCGATTCCAAGTGAGGTCATCTAATGGTCTCCACAAATCTATGTTTAATTTAATTCAGCTAATTCATTTCTTCGATATTAAAGCAAAGTATTGAAACTAGGAACAAACGTAAAGACTGCACTGCATAACTTTACCACCAATAAAGCATAATCGGAGAAAAGTGAGAGGTCAAATATTAAAATAAGAAGTCATATATAAAAGAATAAAATAGCAAAAAATATCCAAATGAGAAGCATCGGTTTCGAAAACGATGCTCAGAAAGAACAAATATGTCCAAACGAGGAAACAGGTGCTCCACCTTTTCTAGCGCTATCGTTATAGTAAATATAGATCATTTTCTACAAGTCCTTTTACCCGACCTTTATTTTCGTAATCTTTAGTCGCTAGACATATACTACTTTCAATTACAAGAGTGTTTTATATGACACAAAGATTCTTGTTTTCGTAATTTTAAATTTCAAAAAATTAATTTTGCATAAAATACGAAATCTAATTTTCCCCACTTTCTTCCGGTCGCTCTATTCATAATTAAGAACATTTTATACTCATTATAAGAAAAAAATATATATATACTTCCGTACGACAAAAAATTGACTTAAATTTCAAAATTTGCGATATTTGACCTCATTTTTGGATTTCCATTGAGGGGAAATTATCGAGTTTGATTTTGCCCCTTAAATCCCGTTCAATGATATTATTTTCAGATTCTGGAAAATTTTTATTAATAATTTTGTTACATGTGGTATGCCGCGAGAATTTTTAGAATTTTCTCAAAAGTAATTTATAAGTTTTTTGAGAATAAAAGTAAGTTATTAATATTCTCCTGGAGCGTTTTTATTTTTAAAATATAATCTGGTAATTGTAAAAACGTCATTAAAGTACAAATATTTTTCATTTGAAATCAATGCAAATAATATTACAACGTAAATTCTATAATATTCTGTAAATGAGATCTTCTTTTTGGAAAAAAAATTATATTGATCAATATTTTTCGCAATAATCTGCATAGAAATGCTCGTCACGTAATTTTTCAACATCAGAAAGCTTTTTCTAAACGATATTTTGTTTTTAGTTGCGCATTAATGCAAACATTTCAATCATCAATTTGTGTATAATTTTCGGATTGTTATATCAAAATCAAAATATCTTGCTGGTCAAGATTTTCGTCCGAGAGTCAACCTCTTGTGTTTAATTTTTCAAACTGGCACATTATTTTCATAAATTTATGTATAAAGACCGGAGGAAAGTGCAAAAACTTAGATATCGTAATTTTTACAAAATTGATTTCGTTAAATTTAAAAATGCCAAATCAGGGAATCTTTGCGTCACCTAAAACGCTTTTGTAATTTTAAGTATATATCTACTAAAATGAATGAGAAAAATAAATGCCGGTTAAGGACATTTGTGGACACAATGTATAATCGTGTACATATATTAATCATTACGAAATGACAGTTTTTACAGACTTGGTAATCAAGAGTTACTTAGCCGGGTCTTACGAACGTCTCGGATTATTCATAATTTGGAATTAATTTAAATTTAATTTCTGTATACAGCTGAAAGCTCACAAATTTAAGCAACCATTTGTTGAAATCTTTTGCAGAATAACAATGTAGTTCGGTAATGTGGTAGTTACTTTTCTCAGTGTAAAATTAATAATCTTACTTTTTTGTGCTTTTTCTACTTATCACTATCTCTGTGAACTTATCGTCTATATAATTCTTTGTGCCTTACCTTTTCATTTAAAATCGTTTCGTTAAGAGGCATTAATTAATGCTACGATATACGGAGTGTTTAAAAAAAAATTCAAAAAGGACTAAGCATCTTTGAAGTATATCTGACTTGAATTATTAATAGCAGACGCCCATAGAGTTATTTTAGTAACGATTATAGAAACTTATATTTTATATGTGTCTCGGAGAAGTAAATGTTAATAGTAAAAAGCTTTTCCGTAACTGAATCATTCACACGGTAAAAAAAAAGTCTCATAACGACAAAATTATCCAAGATATTATTAACTGAACTTTTGGAAAAGCGTAGGCAAATACCGCTGTAGAAAGTTACATTAATTAACGTTTGTTATTTCTCAGATGTAGATTTCTAAATGATACATTTTAAGCTGAAAATTTAGAGCAACTGTTTTCAAATTGCCGTTAACACATTTTTTCAGGAAATGTGAAAATTTTCCTGAAAAAATAACACATTTTTTTTCAGGAAATATCTAAATTTCAGGAATTTTATTTTTAATGTAATTCAACTTTTTCCAACCGTTATATTGGGATGAAAGCGGCTCACGTCATGTTATTTTGATAATATATTCATCACTTCCAATGCTCTAATAAGTCAATAGCAGAATAAGGAACAACTTACAATTAAAACTTTCCTCGTTCTGAGGAGTATATAAAATTTCATTAAACGTTATACTTTAACTAAAATGCCTCCCATTGTGAGGAATTATCGAATTTATCCGAGCCTGCTGTCATAGCCTAAGTGGTTAGTAAGTCAAGTTAGCACTGGAAGATCCATTTTTTTTAATCTTGGGAAGAGCGAGTTTGGTTTCTCATATTTTGTGCTAGGAAAATTCTATTAATCTTTATCACATAACTAAAAATTATCCTAGGCTAAAAAACCTGTCTTCTGTGGTTCCCTTTTTAAAGAGTGTGTGTGTGAGATTATGGCAAAGCCTCGAGGGCTATCTGCCTAAAAGGAGGGATGCCTTCGTGGAGGACTTTCTAAGGGAAACTGGCTCGTATACACGTTACACATGGGGAAAACCACGAAAACGCCCATACAGTCGGTCCGTTCGCGGGATTCGGACCTCGGACCGAACTACCAGTGATCAGCGACTTTACCGCTCGGCTGCTGGTGGGCCCCTTTTTAAAGAGAAACAATGATCTACAATCTATCTTTCAAGCGATATTTAACCATGGAATCCTTTTTGAACGTTCTGTATTGTAACCTACGTCCTTTATAAAATCACAGTAAATGCTACAAAAACATCACTAACCAAAACTGATCAAAAATAAGTTTTCTTAAATAAGCAATGATATTTTCTTATAACGTACGCATAAAAATTGAATTAATTACATAGTTATTTAATTTAATTTCGAAATAAAAATCTCAATCTGTAAACGCATAAATGGAAGTATAAAATATTCTCGAAGATAATTTACGTTATCTCGCACAAAATTTGGTGACAAGTCCTTGAGACAGCAACCAGTGATTCCAAGTGATTTTGGTCTTGTTACAGAACATGACTGTTGGCAATGCTTTGTGGTGTAATAGCCGAAACCGCTACACAAAACCCCGGTTGTGATACAGGGTGAAATGAACTTCTAACTCAAGTTATAACAATAACATGAATTTTAATAAACTAAAAACATTAACAAGTGTGTGACGATGTGGGACTTGGATAAATTCAGTCCTGTAATTTCAGAATTTTATCAACAGGAAACGTGCTCTATCGCTTTACATACGAGGAGTGATAGTTCTAGCGGGTCAATATGCCCATAGCTCCAGCAGGAAAAGTTCTCGTTCTTCTCAGTAAAAACCTTTTATAACTCACTATGTCGTTACCTTACGCTGAACTCCCGGGGGGGGGGAGATTCCTTTACTCGTACATAACAAATGTGTCCATCTTCTGACCCTGATGAAAAGACTTCTTTGATCTCTTTTATCCTTGGAGTGACCTTCGAGGCTGCAACCGGATTCATTAAGAAAGGCACCTCATTGCAACAGGATTTCACCTACGTGCTGAGAAAGGTAATATTGCAATCTGAAATCATTCATCCCAGACAAAGAACCTCTATGCGACCTTATCACAGCTTAATATTATTATCTATGATTTCATACGCGTCAGTCACATATAAAAGTGATCCTCTCAGGGTGAATGTCAAGTTGAGAAGTTTCTGTATATTCGCAAAGCTACTCAAATCATCCCTATCATTAACTCAGAACTTGAAACTACTGTAATAATTTATTATTTTCTATGTGAAATTTTAAATAAATCATATGATTGTTATTAATTTTGTTCAGGATTTAAATAGATGAATATAAATTACTAATATAAAATTTTAAATAAGATTTTATGCTCATAAATCAAGCACGTAAAATCGGTTTCATTGCTTTTTTTTTATTTTTATTTTGTATTATACCTGCTTTTTTTAATATCTCTTCACCCGTATGTATATCCCATTTTCATTAATCCATATATACACTTTGTAATAATTCAGTTAGATGTATTTAATAATGAATGCTCTGTTTTTCATACGACCTTTCTTTTATATTTTATATGTATAGTTTGAATGCACGAACATCTGCTTTTGGTACGTTCCACCTAGTCTCCGTGGTAAAGAAAAGGATCCAGATTTCTGGGAGAAAATCGCTAAGGTAATAACCATTTTAACTTTTAAATTTAGTTCTAAAACTCTAGCATATTTTTCGCAGAGCAGGCTATGTTTGCTCATAAGTTTTATTTTAAGCATGATAAAAATAATCTGAAAAATTTGTTTGAAAAGACGAAGCTTCTACAGGAAGAAGGTTATTTAAATAATGGTATAAACACAATGGATCACTAAACGCTTAAATGTAATTTTTTTTAAATTTTTATTAATTTTATTAACTATTAAAAAATTCATCATTTTTTTTATTTGCACAGATATAATGACAAATTATAACCTGCGTTTTAATTTTTAGCTTTAATACAATTATTAAATTATGCATTATCCAGGATTTAATTATGAATTCGACTGCCCATTTCAAAAATAATTTTAATAAATAAATACATCTGTATAGTCTAACAATACTATTTAAACCTAAAACTCTCCTCGATCAAATCAAGCTCGTGGAGTAGTAACGCTAGAGATGACCGTAGTTGAAAGTACGTTAAAATAGAATCAGAGCATTACAGTGAATGAGACAGCCTTCTCTTTGTATATCTATTGTAAGGTTTAGCCTAAGTTGTTAACAGTTATTTTAAGTTAAAGCTAATTTCCTGTCTATCCCAATTTCAGCTTACAATTTCCTACCGGAATATGTTTTTAGAATCGCGTTTAATGCAAATGAGTAAGAGTAGTATTTAAGTCAGAGTTCTACTGACTTCGAGAGACAGCCTCAGAGTTTCTGACTAGCGTTTGCCTTTTGGTTACGTCTCTCTAAGCTGTTACTACGTTTGTCCGTATTACCGGTCCTTGATAGCTTCACCAGCTAATTCGATATTTAAGGGCGAAATACTTAGAATTTTGATGGCTTCGGCTATATCTTAGTTAAGCATTAGTTAAGTCTTATTTCTTATTATTTTGAGTTGAAGCCCAAGTGGAGGCTTCGCCCACTTGACAGTTCATCCCTGAGAAAAGGGTCAACTGCTCGCTCTTATTTTGAGCAATAAAAAGTAATTAACCCTTCTCGAGTTTACGTCTCTGTTCCTGAACTTTAGTGATTATTCGCTTAGCTGTTCACTAGGTTCCTCCACATCTATATGTTACTTAAAAGGGTGGAACCCCACACTAGGATGTACCACACTAGGTAAACCTTGTATAGAATAAAATGCAATTAAATAATTTTTTTTAGAAATGGATGCCACACCAGCTGACAGCAGAATCCAAAGAAGTTACATTCATGTATGCAAAGACCTTTAACTTAGAAGCTGAAAATGGTGGATTCTTACAGTCATTGAACATGAAACCTAAGTTAACTACTACCAACCGGAAACACACACACAAAACAAGACAAGAAATAATGGCTTAGTTAAGTATTAAAACCGAAAAAACAAATTCACTCTCATTTATTGGAGGGAATATTGAAACCAAAAATATTTCATTAACAACTATCGGAGGGAAAGATAACGTTCTCGTTTAGATTTAACAAGGTGAGATTTTGAAGCATTACTGGGGATAAATCACCAATACAATGCATGCAGATTTCCTCAGTGAATCTTACTTTAATGTTCGAATGATGTAGAATTCAAAGTTTAGACAACTGCAAGTTGTAAGTTGCAATATGACACAATTCGACTCACATGGAAACTGTGCGATTGTTGTAACCATGCAAGTTTTAAAATCCCTCATCCATTATATTATCCGAGCCTTGCGCTTGGTAATTTTTACGTTTATATCACTCACTAAAATGCTGAAAGGAAAGTTATTTAAGTCTAATGAAGACCCGAAGAAAGGGGTGCGTGTGTAGCTTAGATACTAGAAGCAGGAAGTTTTTCTGGTGGCATCCATGCTTTCCAAGCGATGGAGTAGTTACAGTATATATCAAGGAGATTGCGTTGGAAAATTATGTGAGCGTATTCCTTAGTTAGTCAGTAAATTATTAGATTAAAATTTATTTAAAGGTTTTCATCTTTCTCGTAACAGACTACTCGCTTTAGAAACATGTAGTAAGTCTGAATTCTATTTATACAGGAAAAACGGATGCTGTGAAATAATGCTGATGCTTCAATTGAATTATATTGAGTAGGAAAGATAAAATTACTTGCAGCAACACACACACAACAAAAAATCTTTGCCAAATATTTTGCGAAGTGAATCACCACATGCACAGGACATTCAGTAAACTATAGTAGTTCGTTTTGTTGCTGGTGATTTTATTTTGAACACTCATAAGTTTATTGTTAATGGTAGAAGGAGGTCTGCAGTAAATTTAAACGCTAATTTTTCAGTTTGCTGGAACAGTTTCTAGTATTTCTGGAAAATAAGGCAGAATAAGAGAATAAAGGTGGAACTTTAGTTGAAAACTTGTTTTAAACTGGAAGTTTATTTGAGTTAGAGAAAAGGTCAGTTAGCATAATGCTTACAGTTACCAAAGGATTTAAAGGCGAGGATAATGACTATCCATTGGTTTATTTACCGTGAGCTATTGAAACAAATTGTAGAAGAAGAATTTTATGAAACTATGGCAACTGATGTTTTACACCAAAAGTGATAATGAGAATCATAACCAAAGTACTTATGTGCGTTAGTATGCTTCTTTTAAGCCATTATGACCGGAGAATTTTCGTGCTGCCCAACCACTATAGTGGTTAGAGACCCTGATTGCCGTACCGAAGGGTCCGGTTTCGAATCCCGGAGAAGGCACAGATGTTTGTAAACGTACAGTATCCATGCGGCATAAGGGCACTCTAAATATGTGGTGAGCCGAAAGACCTCTCGAGAGGTTAGAGGTTGTGGAAGGGTAAGAGGGGTTGAGACCCTCGGAACCGTCCCTTCCCGGGGGGCTCTCCATCAAAATTGGGGGCGGAATTGACCAAAGTCGGACTGTCATCTGTATGGTGCTCAAGGTCAACGACAGGCACAATCTTGCACTTTTTGCCACGATGAGTTTCGTGAGCTTGTTCTGATATTACTCTCATGAAAGTAAGATAAGCCACAAAAACAACAACAGAATTTTCGTTTAAGAATGGAGGCTTGCGTATAGATTTGTTCAGAGGCTAAGCCATATTTCAGCTCAGATGCTTCATTGTATTTTTAGATGATAATAGATATACATATTTAATTTTCCTCCTTGATTGTATATCAGGTAAAACGATATATTCTATGCAAAATAACCAAATACTTTTTAATTTTCTAATGTAATAAAAAATGAGACGTTTATTAATCTGTGTTTTATACCTGTGTTGATTTTCTTCAATATATTCAATGTAATGTTAAAATAAATTATTTTTTCTTCAGAAAATGAATTTATTCTTCCGATTCTGATAATTGAAATTAATTTTAAAATTGTTAATTAGGTCGCACCTATGATCAAAGGTCGGGCTGTGAAGGAAGGAACGATGATGATTAGTTACCAGCCCCTTAAATCGAGAAATTGGGTCAATTTCTTCCGTGTGATTGTTCACTGCATTCCAACATTATCGGAGGAATATATGGATAACATAATTACTCAAGTCCAGAAGTATGGGCAAGATCTGTAAAATAGAATGCAACTTATACTGGTTGCTTGTATAAGTTTTGGATCTATTCCTCTAGATCCAATCCATAATTTATGAAAAAAGTATCATGGTTTGCTTTACATTGATTTATCTCTAGAGACTGATATATGTGGTATATTAATGCATTGATACTTTTATGATTCTCAGTGATACTTTTGACTGCCGGATTCATTTTGTTTCCTATTACAGTTTATTACAAAATTGAAATGTTTGTTATTTTACGTTAAAATTGTTCTAGCACTTAAATATAGTACTTTGTTTTCTGTGATAGAAGAAAATATTTTATTTCCTCTAGAATAACGTTATCGTTTTGATATGTCTAATTGTTACACTTTTGTCCATTTATTCTGAAATGTTTATCCCCTAATTGTAACGTATTAAAACGAGCTTTTATAGTAAATCTCAATGAACAAATAGAATTTTAGTGCGCTTCCAATTACTATGTTTAGACGTTATGGAACTTACTGTGGGATGTTCTCTGTAGTCTAGGTAATGTAGAATGTGTGGTCATTTTCAGGATTGTTCATATGCTGAAAAGAAGTAATTAAATCAGTGCGCGAGTATTTATGTCTGTATTTATATCGTATAGAATAGTGTTTTGTAAATTCAGACTCGGAGAAACATAATCTAATAAATCCAGCTCTTCCATTGTGAATATTTTGACCTCTCTGCTTTTGGTGTAATTTGTGCGACTTTTATTTTGGTTTTCCTGTAGATAAGAGCATGCCGTGCATATGTATGTATGTATGCATGCTTGTAAGTATGTATGCCCGCATGTATCAACATAGGTTTTACATACATTGTACATATATATCGACAGATACATAGTATGTATATATGTATGATGTATGTAGTTCTATGTTTATATCTCTTATGTGTGTGTGTGTGTGCCTGTCTGTCGCGTTAACCAAATGTTAAATTAAATCATTATACACTCCGTTTTCAAATATGGAAATAAAATTAACACTATTTACTATTTTTAGGTGATTTGAAATTGTGTTCATTTCCTTGATTTTATTGAGTATGTTTAGCACTTGAAAATATATATGCAGAGATTATTTCTTTTGTACTTTAATTATATTAAGAAAATCAAGAGAGTTAGAAGCTTTCTTATACTGATGTTTTAGCATGTAGAGTGTGTAGTTTCTGTGAGCTTTAAAAATAAATAACTGCAGTATAATATTCTTTATCGTACTGAAGATCTTTGACGTTATAGCTTCAGAAAATATCTGTTCTGAATTCTGCTATCTCTTGCTCTTTATACGTTCTGAGTATTTTATGTCTTATCTGTCATACCTAGGCTTTTATGTATGATTCATACAGTTTTCAAACATATATGCATAAGCAGAGAGACAGAAAAGTAAAATCGCCCCTCTCCTGTAATAAATTTTTCTCTAATAATTTCATTAACAGTATGCTTTATAAATTAGCACTTTTGAAGCTTTAAACTTAGGCTTCATAGAAACGAGAATCAGAGCTTCGTGGAAGTTTTAGCATGTGCTCATTGCAAATAACCTCTCCCCTTTTTTAATGGGCATTCTTATGTATACTTTGTCTCTTATATTTAAGCGTATTTTGTGTAGTATAGAATTGTGTGTATTTCAACAACTATCATATAACTGTTTATATAAACATGTAACGATGTATCATATGTGTTCATTTCATTAATAAAAGTATTTGTTTCTGTCCATACATCTGTTTTCGTCTCTAAACCAATGAATGAACTGATGATATGATGACAATCTGATTATCACAGATTTAGAATAAATGTCTATCTGAGTGCGTAGATATCGAAGTACAATGCTTGCAAATTCTTAGTACTTTAATAATACAAAATGGTATTCTAAAGAAAGGAAGAGTCTCAAGGAAAGAACTACAGTTAATACTTAAGTGAAATTCTTCAGCACTGATGTTTTCATGATAAAACCGCGACACTATACAAGAACTCCAAACCTTTCTATCTTTCATAAAGCTGAATTCACATCCAGACTGAAATTTTAAATTTAACACCACTAAGATATCAGATTAGTCCCATTTCTGATAACTGAGAAATATTACTATTTTTTTAATATATTTATTTTTTAAGACTTTAAAGATATTTAATAATTTTAAAGATTAAATAGACTTTAAAAATATCTAATAACTAACACTTTAAAAAATAATTTAAGACTTTAAAAATATCTAATAACTAAGTTTGAAAACCAACATAAAATGCAATCACATCTATTTTTTAACCGCAGGGAAAACACTCTTTGACAAATTTCAGCTAAGCCAGAATATTTTTTGAGAGGGATTGAGTTCAGGTAAAAATGTATTGCATTTTTATTGTTTTATCTTCATGACTAGAGTATTTCATGCACTAAAGTCATATTACATGAAAATAAAAAAAAATTAAATTACTTGCTTTTAAAGTGATATTAGAAGATACCTGAATGTATTTTAAAAACTTGATTTCACCCAGGCACATTAGTCTCAGCCTGTGAAACTGGTGTCCTGTAGTACAAAGATAATAAAGGTTTGCTTATTTGAATAAAACTTCATTAAAAGTTTTGCAAACATCAAATAAATTCTGATTTTTAATGAAAGCCTAAAATCAGCTGTATGGCTTTTCATGTGTGCAATTTTCAGAACACTAACATAAGGGCACTCTAATATGTATGACTTTTTTCAGTCTGTAACAAATGGACAAAATGCACTGCTAAAACGAATATTTTACTTTCTCTATCTGAAAGATATTAGTTTTACAGAATTCAGTGCACTAAACTAATACAAACGCTTTTATCAAAATTTTACAAAGAATTTTTTAAAGAAGTTCTTAATTTCTTTTCTGAAATTCTTAAAAAGTGTTCCAAATTATAGCTTCTTATTTAATTTTTGATGAAAGGAGCACGGTCATTTATACACCGTGTCCATGGAAGTAATTGACTTTATTTTGCGGCCTTTATTTTTGCAACCATTGGCAGAAACATGTAGAAAGAGATACGAAATTCTAATTATGCAGACATTCACGTTATGATATTTCTAAAATTATTAAATAATTTATTCAAAAATTACCAAAATAATTATGAAACATAAACTTTTGTACTGCCCTTTAGTCCATTTAGTTATATTTAACAAACGCTTATATTAACTATAGAAAAATAAAATGCGAAAATTTGATTCCAGTACAACAAAAATTTGTTGAAGTATTTAATTTCAAAGTCTGAGATTTTTCTAGACTCTTCACTGCCATAAAGTTATTTGCTGGTTCTCACTAAGGATTCGCTTAAAAAATAAATTAAAATAATTTGAGGCTGAATTTTCCCTTAATGTCATTCAGTGTTATTCGCCCCTCTGTGATTTATTGGTGTCTTGTAGGATCTAGTACGCTTAGCTTTCATAAAATGCGACTAGATCTACCTAAGGTGTGATCCTTGCGACTTCTCGCACAGGTTTGAAGATGAACACAACCAGGCAAGTGTATGAATGACCTATTTATTGAGCATAACATATTAAATAAATGGCACGAACTTACATAAAAAAACACCGACTACTTGTGAGAACTTAAAAGATAATGTGACACTAAATTTAAAGGTAAAGAGTAGTGCGAGACTACACAATTCAATTTAAACTAACGGGTTGACTCAGAACCCTACACCGGCAGGATACTAACTCGACGGCAAGAATGTGTAGCCGTTATTAAGATTAACAGCTGGTAGAAACTAACAAATGTGAGCTCACAAGAGCGAAATCACGCTCTGTCCAACTTCTCCGCTCAAACAGTTTCTCTCGTTCACCTTACTTCATTTACAATCTGGCGAGGAAACGTGAGGGCAAATACGGGAGTTCAGGGAAGGCTAACAAAATAAAATAACTACTAGTAAACATAAACAAAACCCCACATCATTCTCCGCCAGAATTTAACTATCATCACTAAAAGGCTTTAACTAGCTTTGATAGAGATATTTTAATTATAAACCTGAGTTTCAACTTTCCCAAATTATTTAGTCTTAAGATTAATTTGTTTTACAGATGAATTTTATCCTTCCATTACATACAAAACCTTCTTATAATTGTTTCCGCTGGTCTTCCTCCAGACCTCCGAAAGCAAAATAGTTTGGAAAAAAATCGAATCCATTTAATAAATTTACATAACTTTTAAGGTTGCAGTGTTTCTTGCCCTTTATCTTTGAAGAAACGCCGAGGAACCTAGTGAACTACTTAACGAATTATCGCTGAGTTCAGAACAACTAAGATGTAAACTCGATAAAGGTTAAATTACCCTTTTATTCACTCAAATAAGAATAACAGTCGGCCCCTTCTCGGGCTTACAGGAAAGCCTATACTTGGACTTTAACTCAGAATAAGAAATAAGAACTAAACTAAAATTAACTAAACGAGACTTATCCGAAGCCAGACTCAATTATCTAACGTAGTGAGCCTTTAACTTATATTAGCTGGCGAATAACAATAGGCAGGTATAATAACGGCCGAGCGTAACGGCTTCAAGAAGGATTTAGTTAGAAGGCTGACACGCGCCAGTAAGGATTCCTAGCACTCTCTATCGAAGTAAGCTGAACCTTCCTTAAATACGTCTTCTAACTCATTTGCATTCAGTGCTATTCTAAAAACTCATTCTGGGAGTTGTAGGTAAAAACAAGCATTGAAAGAAAAGGGTTTCAAAATTAAAACTAACTGTTATAAAATTAAAATATACCTTACGTTTTCCCCCACCAAAATTTAAATGCTCGAGCATCTCTCAACGAGCTTGTTGAGAGCTTTAAATTCTACAAAAACCTCATCTAACTTTACTTTCTAAATTTTCAAACTTTCGGTTTCTCAAACTCGTTTACACTACTAAGAATCGAAGTTTAACCTCCTTTTAGGGCCAACTTTAAAAGGGATCTAAATTTAAGTTAAAATTAAGATAGAGAAAATTATTTTTACAATTTTTTTCTTCTTCATTGCTGAAGTTACATAAATCATCTTGTATTTCTTGAATCATCATCATAATTATCTTCTCCTTCCAATATGTCTGGAAGGAGAAAGTATTAGTACTCTATACAGAGATAAATTTTTACACTTCCTCGTACAATTTGCATTTTATCACTCTGTTTAGTCTACTTACAATTTCATGCGCTCATACTTTAAACACAATCCCCCAACGCTCCCCATATGTTTGAAGGCGATGAGCATGGAAATATTGTGTTGGAATAACTTACACTACCATCTAACCAACTTCCTAAAAGTACAAAAAATCCTGACACTCCAGACCTAAAAGGACACTTTATTTTCAATACTATAACTAGTGTACTACACGCGCGAAAGTGTTCTTAACTTTCGTGTAACTGGACAGCCTAGTTTTAACACATCCATTCTCTCAACTACTTCGTTTAAAAAAAAGTTTGACCTTTAAAACACTTTTACATTCATCATATAAAATTTACTTTAGTTGCAATTTTTTTTCACATTTAACTTAGTAAAAGTTTTCAGATTTACTTTACATCACAAAGTACACAGTTGCTGTACATACTTTACATTCCTTTTCGAACAATTTAATTTTAACTTTTCGTTTACAGCCATTTGAATCGTAATTTTAAGTGTTTCCGACTAAAAGGTATTTACAGCATACTTTCTCGCGAACTTTCGAACTAAATTTTAAAAATCTTGCTTTTTGCAGCATCTAACAAATGTTTTTGCTTGAGAAAAACTCCTTAGCAGCTTTGAATAAAATGCTCTAAACCGAACATCAATCCAAAATGAGAAAACAAAAAACATTTTCACTTACCTTTTTGCTTTTTGAAGTCCTCCATTGTTTTATGGGTAAACTCCTCCCAACTCGGACAATTCAGGCTTTGAACTGGGATTTTCCTTTGAGGCCGGCCTTCATTTAATAATGAAAAACTTCTTTTAAATTATCTACGTGCTCTTCAATAGCTTCACTTCTAATAATATAGTCATCAAGGTAAATAAAAGTATTTTTGGTTAGGACGGGTCTTAAAACGATATTCGTAATCGTCTGGAATGTAACCAAAGCTCCACTTAAGCCAAACAGCATTCTCAAAAACGCATACACGCCTGATTTCGTGATAAAGGCAGTTTTTTCTATATCTTTAGATTTTACTGCTATCTGAAGAAATCCTGACGTCAGTTCAAGCGTTGTCATGTAATTCGTCGATTGTATTTTTCGAATTACTTCATCTATAGCGGGCAGGGAATACACGGGATATTTCGTTATGCTATGTAATTTACGATAGTCTACGGCAAATCTCTACGATTTAGGATCTGAAGGTTGAAGGCTGTTTTTCTTTCTGCATAAGATTACTGGGCTTGCATAGGGGCTGTTACTTCGGGTGATTATTTTATTTTCCGTCGTACCTCTAATATGCTATTCTATAATATTTTCTTTCACTTTATCGTATTTAAACGATTTAGACCTAATTAGGGGCCTACCCTACATTAATTTCATGATTAACTGCTTGACAGAAGCCAGGTTTCGAGTCAAACAATATATTAAAATTTCTTACCAGAGCTTTCATTTTCTTATCCTCTTTTTGGAGGTGATTCAGTTGTACTTCTGGAGGTGCTTCCCCTTCTTCTTCTACAGCGTCCATTTGTACTTGTAAAGTAGAATTCTTAAAATTTAAGATCTCGCTCGCTGCGCGTAAAACGTCGACCCCAAAATTACTGATGTTAACAGATCTTTCACTACA